AATTTTAAATTACGCGTCTAATTTTCCAAATTGTTATTACCAACACGCTTAGAATATACGTTAGACCAACTGAACGCATACAGATTAAAGATAAATTACAAACACGCCTTTATTCCAATGAACAGTTAATAACATTTGACAAATTTGGCAAGTAATTATTTATAACGGCTTCAAAGAGGCACTTGGATTTTAAAAGCAAGTTTTTATGAAGAACACTTCATCCTGGGTGGGTTTAATTTCAGTACGCAATAAAAATCATACAGAGTGACGTTATTGTTAAGCAATATGGTTCCTTTGCTTACTGCGAAACAAGTTGAAATGGAGTTTCACAATAAGATGTTTTTTCTACTAACGGACGTAACTTTACGCAAACTGTACATTACGCACTAGTACATATCTATATAAAGTAATTTTACATATTGGTACAGAAAATAAATATTTATATTATAATTTATTTACTAATAACAATTTTAATTTAAAAAAATTGAAATCTGAATGAGTTAGAACCGATTTAAGTAATACTTATATTTCAAGATAATACAAGTTGCTGATATATGCAGGAAAATAATCAATAATAATTACTTTACTGTCATACTTTAGGTTACAGCTGTGGACAATAAAATGTTTCCAACGCTTACTGTTCAGCGTAAATGTGGCTTTACTGTTGAGAGTTTAAGTTCCGCTTATTATGTTTCGAATATTTTAATGTATTTTCTTTTCTGTATTTATAAATACTCGAATAGTCGCATTTTCTGCTATCATTGGATGGTATTATGGTTTTAACACCTGTATTTTTTATTTGTCTAGTTATAGGTATATTATCTAATAAATTTAATTATTATTATTGCGTCATTACTAACTTAATTACGTTAGTACTTGATTAAATTTGTTTATTAGTTTTTTATGGTATTATACAGGATGGTTCAAGTTTTTATTAAATTTTACTAACAGATAAAATATTAATGAATATGGTTATGTTATAATATAGGACTTTTAAAATATCATAAAATAAATAATAGCAAATTTGGTCACGCGTAATGTTCGTCAAAAAAAAAAGAAGAGAGATACAGGAAAAGTTTTTCAAAAATATCATAGGCAAATGTTTCAAAAGATGTTGGGGAGACGCCGCCTCTAAGAACTTCAGAATTTCAATGCCGTTGATTATTTTGGATATTCAATCAGTCCATTTGAGTCCAATTTATTTTTTAAAGAAAAAATATCGAAGAATATTGTTTGACTTCAATTGTAATAAAATAAATAATAAAATGTAATAATTAGAAAAAAAATTAATATTGCAACGCGTAATGTAACAATGGCAGCAGTAGCAAGATAGTTTTTACAATTTTCTCATTAACAACCAACTTAAAGTAGGTATGTAAATCTTATCCGTAGAAAACATCATTTTATTTGTGATCATTTGTTAAATTTAAATACTTTTTATAAACAAATATAAAAACTAGCTAAAATTTCAACATTTCTCTACTTTAAAGTGGAAAGATTTTATTGTCTACAACTATACTCAGTGTATACAAATTTTCATGGTAAAAAAAATCATTTAAAATTTAGTTTACGATGTTATGTACTTGATTAAATATATTAACCTTAAGAAACATATTAAAAAGGAAATGTTAAATTTGTATTGTGCAGTCAATGCAATTTGGGCTCTGTTTAGTCCCACCGTAAGCAAATAATAGCTGTTCACCGTTTTTTTTTAATAAACGTAATTTGTTCAGGAATGATGTAAAAATTTGTTATTTTCATATTATTCTTGTGATTTTAAAAAAATTGTGAAATTTTAAATTGATTGTAGCACACAATGATATCTATTGAAAAATCAATGGTGCGAGAAATACTAAACTTTAATGAAAAAGTAATTGAAAAGTATACTTCGGACAAAAGCAGAAGAATGAACTTTCACTATAAAAAATAATGTTGCGTACATTTTCCCTATATTCCAATAGTACTTAAAATAAAACTACCTAATTTTATTTGATTTTTTTTCAATATTTTATTATTATTTATTCAAAATACAAAGAATTATAAGCCCTAAAAAGAAATTAAACAGTTGCAGGCGTGGCTATTTCCAGTGCGACGTCTTCACCCTGTATTTCGATTACATTAAGCACAACTTTTGTTCGTCCACAACTGTTTATTCTCAAGAACTGCAATTTGCAATGTCAACAAACATATCCGTTACATGTTCAAAACATATGTTGTTAAACCACTCAAATATGTTAAATTTTTTTTAAGATGAATTTACATTTGCTTTTTATTAAGTAGGCATATTTTTAAATTTATATAATCATTTTTACTAAATTTTTCACAACAGGCAATTGAATGATTTCGACGTCAGGCAACTTTTGTGGCTTTCAATATACGAAAATATATTAAACTCTTGTATTTTAGCGGTCTTGTATTAGATCCCTGTGACATACTTGATACTTTACGCAGTAACATGCACATTTGCCTTTTTAAAATTGGCAGAGGTTCTACTATTTCTAAACAAAGAAAGAACGTGGATTATTTGGACGAATCCTGTAAAGAGGAAGTTGAGAGCAGTTTGCATAAAATTAGCGTCAGCTGAAAGTGGCCATAATCATCGTTTCCACATTCTAAGATCTCTAACTGTGGAGACTGCACAGTGCACATTGCACACGACACTAATTTCGATGCGAAGGTTTAGTAAACTTTCTTCTTTTTCTGACATTGCACCTGGGACTACCAGGTTCAAGTCTGCGAACAATAAATGCGTGCGTACTAAATTAGATTTTGTAAATATTAATTATGAAAGAACTCGACAGAAATAGAAACTAAATAAATGAGGCACAGATGGCTCTCGAGAGTATTCTCGCATCAAGTTCACCCATTCATCCCGCTGATTACAATCTACTCCAGGTTTTCAAATAACTTTTAATACAGAAAAAGAAGTTTCACGAGCACTGTAATGTAATAATAATCAGAAAAAATAGTCTTTCCAAAGCACTAGCACTCGGTGGCTTAGAAATTCCTTAGTAGTATTGCTGTCCCGCACCTACACCACTATCTAGCGTATTTTTAAACAAGATTAAAAGAAATATTAGTTATTGTGTTTGATAAAACTCGTAATAGTTCAAGTTTATCTCACCTTTCAGCTATGTATTAACTTCAGTTAATTAGTGCATCACGATTAAAATGTTTATGTGAGTAAAACACAAACAAGTATCTGGTTGATGGGACTGAACGTCAAACAGAATGTACCGGACTGATTGGGTCTTAAACAAGTTTAAAAAAATATACAGACCTGGAAAGAGTATACAAAAATCCTAGACGAAACATTCGAATCGCGCTGAGAGAAATATAGCAAGGTGAGTTTTCATCCTTTGGAAGCTTATTGGAATTTTATGTTGATCGCATGCGACTACTCTGTTAGGAGGCAGAGCGTTGATTAAAAGCTGTACAGGGTGTTCCATTTAAAACGAATTCTACTGTAGCTTTGGCAATATCAATAAATAAAAAATTTTCAAATAAAAGTCGCACCAAATCAGTTTCTCTATTATTTAAAAATTACACAGGTCAACATTTAGTCTGAAAAAAAAAACACTGGACTCTACCTAGATACCCAGGGATTTTTGGGGTCACTATCACGTCAGGTTCAAGGTCATTTGAAGGTCAAACTAAGAAAAGGTGGTTGAAAAAGTCTGAAAAAATTCATACATACGTTTTTTGGGTCACTGAATCCGATGTCGGTTGACCTCTATCACCTCATGTTCAAGGTCGTTCGGAGGTTAAAGTAAGAATAGGAGGAGAAAAAATTGACACCTCGTTGAAAACTAAGCGCTACATGATTGTATGAATGCTATATATCCTAAACGCATATTAACTAGAAACGGTTACTTTCTTGTAATAAAGTACAAAAAAAAACAACATATTTTTTGGTACAAACATGTACAAAGCTAACATGATTCATGCAATTCATTTTTTTTTGGAAATATGGAATATGACTAAAATTTGATTTTAAAAAATTATTTTCGAGGCCCTGTTTCTCAAAGAGAGCAAAATATTGTCTTACTTTTTTATGTTCTATCAACCCCTAAATTTATAATATTACGAATCAATATATATTTTATTCTGAAATGAAAACTATCGTGATTGCTTTGAATCAAGCCTCAGCTGTTCAGACGGAAAGCGCCAGCCAAGTGTTTATTTGCCCTTGAGATAATGTAATTTATGAGTATATAATGTAGCCCGGAATGACAAAACTAATAGAGGTTGTTCTTTGTGACGGTGGTACCTGGCCAGCGTCCGAATAAGATCGATTATTATATCTTTGTGCTAGCTTGACTACATTTTGTTTAATGAATTGTGAATTTGTGAGTAATATGCCATATTCGTTTATGTTTTTAAAAAACCCAGGGCGCGCCTCGTGTTTTCGGTTTTAATGGCTGTGGTTCCTTCAAAGTGTGCCTTGTAAGTTCTACGGGGTCTTACATGCGCTTCGATTGACCCATACTGGGTGATGTTGAGGTAGGTGGCATAAAGATAGTATGACTCACACACCCGGTAGTTGGGACGTTTACTAGTTGGCGTCCGGGGGAGCCTCGACTTATTTCAGGTGACATTAGCTAGTTGTTGAAGAAATAATTATAAATATTTGCTAATTAACATAATTTAATTTAATATTTATTTGTTTTTTTATAGACAGAATAGTCACTTTGATATTTGTTTCATATGCCCTCTTAATTTCTGGCGATTGACCCGTCTGTTGTCGAGATAAACTGCTTTGTGATGACCCATGTATAAAAGGTAACAATACCAACAATAACATCTATTTTACAAGCATATTTTTCAAAAACAACCTATACTGATATGCACTGTTCGCCATTTTGACGAGTTCTTGCTGTCAAACTTGTGACACCTAATCAGGAGCACCCTGTATGCATCATGCAAACCAACAAACACTCCGCCGCGATAGAATATAGACTGGTGCAACTAAATGAACGCAGAATTGCTGTAGCACTCGGCAGAGTAAGTTGTAGCGGGCCGCCTACATATAAAGCTGATATAAAGCTCTTCCAGCCCTTAAGGACGTCAGACGCGTAGTAGTGTGAGAACGGGGTTCATTCATAGGCTAGCCTTAAGGCCTTGGCTTAAGCTCGGTGTAGTGCTAGTGTCTTAACTACAGAGGGTGAGTACAGTTTTCAAACCAAAAATTCGTAGTCGGTTTACCCTTCGTTACGTTTCGCGAGTTGAATTTATTTTTGGATCTCGCGGATTACTTATAAACAGACCATGCCAGCCATACTAATTTGCTAAACACTGTTTTTCACTTGGATTTGTGAAGGGAATGTTTAAATTTTACTGCAGTTTTGGATTTGTGTAAGTGCATTTTTTGGTTTGTTAACGGATACAGGAGGAACATTAACAGAGCAATAATAATAAATTGAAGGATTTTAATGTTTTTGTGCTAATAAACATTCTATCTTGTCTAGAGGTTTGTGTACACGATTCGGTTAAAAATAAGCAAAATCGTGTGCGCTGCTTGGTAATTTTAAATGTATAGGTCTTACGTACAGGGTGTTTCCGGGGTGGACAACGAGCGTTGATATTTAAGGCAAATACACTAGTATTTATAAGGATTTCTTGGAAATTTAAATACGGTATTTACATCTGACTTGTCTCCAAATGTGCTATTTTCAGTCTTCTTTTAAAAAGTAAATACAGATACTTGGATACAAAACTTCATTTCCAAACTTGTTAATATCGCTATTATCTAAAGTTTAATGAAAAATATTCAGAACATCTTACTTCGCGGTATTACCTCCCGCTTATTATTTCAAAAAGAATTAATTTTGACCAGAAAAGTCCCAGTTAAAAACAACATGTGTACTAAGACTTCTGTTTTTCAAGATAAAGGGCGTTTATATAAAATATTCCACTGATAAAATTATCTGATTAAGGGTAAGAAAATGGTTCAAATAAAGGCAGCTCCGGAAAGCTTCATTTCAAGACACTGAGTAATTTTTTCTGGTTTTTCTCATTCATTTTACAAGTTCTTTAAGGCACCCCATTTACCATTTTTTGATGTTCAACGGAATGTTCGAACTGCTAGGAATAATCTGCAGGGTGATAATCGGACGAGGGAAGCCAACTTTTCTGTTTTATCCATAAACTTCTTTTTTTCCGATTCTTTTTTATAATCGCAGAATTATAAGCATAACTATCGAAATTTGCCAGTTAGCCGTGATTTGTAACAATGTAATATTCTGAATCATTATTCATAATGCTTAGATTACAATTTTCTGATCTGAATAACGATGCACAGAAAATTTGTGTTAAATTCATATTAGATCACTGATTATTTCATGCTATATGTAAAATTTTCTTACACAAAGAAGGTAATATATGTGGCGTAGAAATTTTTATGAGTGTCATCCAAGTAAACAACAAATACTTCTCTACAACTATTTACTTACAGATCTTTCAAGGAAGTCTAAGAATCACACACTGCAATTTTAAGGTGCTTTATTGTTTTGCTGTATTTAACTTCTGATATAAGCGTTTTTTTTGCGTGTATTTAAATGTTTTTCATATGCAGAAGGTATATCGCACTTTCATCTTTCATACCAGGAGATTTTTTCAATTTATCCGTGAGAGTTGTTGATCACACCATTTTAATCACAGGAAATAGTGCACAAATGTGTACATCCAGTGAATGATTAGTTGCAATCTAGTTACACCCCGTGTTTTATTTACCTGAGATCTCAGTTATCCTGAATACTGGATTGACAACTAGTGAGATTAAGTGAGAGTTAAAAAAAACAGATATAGGTCCCACTAGATATGCGTAAGGGGTTGCCTAATCTACAGGTTGAAACATTACTGGGTTTGTTTGTGCAACAGTCAGAAACCACCAGTAACTGTGCGACGCATGCGCATTTTGTTAAAAGCGTTCATACAACACATTCGGAAACTATTGATTAAAAGTTTGGTGTTCACAAAAGACGCAGAACTAAATTTAAACGTTGGGTATCGGTTTCTGACCATCGACTTCCAAGATATTTTCAATTTGAATCCTGTGCAATGTGTTTTATCCATTTTGTCATCATTTTCATCGTTCTCAAACACCTGTAAACAACATTTTATTTTGTATGAAAACTAATGATACCTTCAAGAGGAATAGACAGAAAATATAAAATGAAATACCACCACGCCGTCTGTTCAGAATATAACCCCCTATTTATACACTTTTCCCAGCGATGTTTCCATTTGCGAAGCAGTCCTGCAGCTTCATTTGAAATGTCCTTTAAATCTGTGACGAATTTGCTTTGATGTCATCGATAGTCTGAAAACGCCGTCCTTCCAGCACTGTTTAGGAAATAAGAAAAAATCACAAAGAGCCAGGTCTGGCGAGTAAGGAGTAATTTCTCTGACAGTCAATCGGCGATTTGGACGCTCTAGATCAGTTGAAGGCCTTCCTGTTCGAGGACCATCAAGCTGGTTTCAAAACTGGAAAAGGTGTAAAACAAATCAAAACAACTAAATATAATAATAATACTTCTGCCACTAACATAAAGAGTTTGTGTATCTGTATTCATATAATTATTGTTTCATACTTTTGGTAAATGAATCAGATGTACAAATTTGTTGGTGGAATATTAGAACACCCTGTATAAAAAAAACAAATTTCCGTTTATTTGTTTCTAATAAGCAATACTTTGTTGCCAGATAATGTGAAAAACATGATATGTAGCGATGAGTATATTTTCATTTCTTTATTTTCGGTAAGAAAAAAACTATGCAACAAATGACTTCAGATACGCTTGAATTTTTCAACTTCCAAGCAATTTTTAAGCCAACCAATATGCGTTCCAATAACACCCACTAAAATGATTTATTTACTTGTTCGAATATACATAAAACCATATTTTATGTTTTTCTCAGAGATATTCGTCATCTCTGAAAATAACTTAGCCGCTAGTAACTAGGTCACAGAAAAAATAAAGCATGCGTGTACGAATTCTGGATAATAAACACTTAATAGGTCCCTAGGGCGCCCCTACGACATATTATAATTAATTAAAAAGCTCGCATGAGGGTTACGGTTTTAGGAATCGGGATTGATTAAGCTCATCAGTCAGTCAGTTCAATTTATTATTGGTATGCCCGTATAGTGGATGTGATTTTGATGTGAAATAAATAGTCTGCTAAAGGTTGCTTAAATGATATTCGTAGTCGGTTATAGTCCAACAGAGTTGGGATTTTGTTTGCTGATGTGAAATATTTTTAGAATTATTACCGTTTTAAATAAGAAACGACACGCGCGGCGCGTGGCACTGGCAGCTTCTCGACGGGCTAATGAGATAGTTTTTTTAATTTTTGTTGTAATTTACAACCGAGAAAGTTAGTATCTTTTATATATTTGCTATTTATATACCTCCGCGTACTTTATTAATGGTTTGATGTGAAGACTTTTTCCTTTTCGACTTTTATCTTTAGAGTAAATGTACCGATTGCCAGGGATTTTAATATATGGTTCTTCTAACAGTATATTTTCAGTCTCTAATTTTGGGATTTTGCTTTCAGATCTGCTAATTACTTCAATTCCAGGAAAGTTAACATTCAAGAACTGTATCAGTCTTTATTAGTTGACAAATTGGTACGTTCTAAAAAATATATTTATTGATATTGTTACTTCCATAAAGCTAATCACTGAATAATTAAAACAAACTGCGTTCTAATAGCCTTTCCATGCATCCACTAGACTTGATTAAATCTTATCCTTGCAACAGAATTCAAAATATAATGTATCAAGGTCATAAATCTGTATAAAAAGAAGTTACTTCAGGAGTGCCTCAAGGTTCTATCCTTGACCTCCTATTATCCACTCTATTTTATAAATGATATAGTTAATGAAATTTCCTTCAAAAACCCTTATGTTGCCTTGGTTCGATCCAATGCAGAATATGCTTCAATAATATGACCGCCGGATTATTCATTATAAAGGGTGTCGCTGAATTTCGTTGGTAACTATCCAAATGTCTGACTTTAATTCAGGAATAGTATGCATTTGAGCACAATAAACTTTGTGCTTTACGAATTCCCACAGGAAAAAGTCTCGTGGCATAAGATCACGTGATCTTGGTGGCCAAGTCACTTCACTGTTACGTCCATTATATTTCTGCCTAATAAGTGGATAGTTTCACTTCACGTGCCGCATGGCAGGTGACACCACCACATGTCATCCCAATCCATGCCATCCAAATGAGGCCACAAAAAATAGCCTCGTCGCTAAAGATGATTTTCATAGCAAAATCATCGTCCACTTGTTGCTTCCCCACCATCTAATCTAATCAATCCGCCGCATTAAATGGTCATCTGGTTTCAATTCCTGGGTTACCTGAATCATGAATGGACGCAGATCCAGATTTTTGTTAAAATCGGCTGCATTGTACTGTTACGGGAATTTCCGCCACACTGTCACTCACCGTAGCAATATTTTCGGCTGAACGGCCAGTACGAAGCCGGCCTGTTTTTTTTTGTCTGCAACCGAACTTAATCCTTTCACAGTTGTTTCATTCGAGACGTTCCTTCTATCAAAAATTCCACTTAATTTGCGCACAGTCTCGGCTACACGTTCTCCGTACTGGTAATAAATTTTCACAATCTTCAATGATGCCAACTCTTCGGAATGAAAATGGCCAGCATCGTTTTATAGTTACTAGACGCAATGTTACTTGTTTAACTTGTTTTGTTTAAATTGTGTATTAGGCATGTTTAATTTACATTTAATCAGATTATGAGTATGAACTCTATTGAACTCTATTCATCGACTTTATTTTTTTTAAATAGAAGTTCACTTACGGAAACGACCCCAATATTAACAATAAAAAAATGCTTTCCTAATACCACGCAAACGCGGTGCATAAAACTATATTATACCGCCCCTATCCCACACGAGTCATTGCCTTCTGGGCTTATCCTTGTACTTAGAACGACCGATAGAAATATTTACATTTATAAAATTATAATAGTATTGATTCAAGTACATATATGTAAATATTAAATAATCAATACGTGATATATTTAAATAGTGTTTGGAACATATCAAGCTTTCGGTTTATCTCTGGGTGGGAAAGAACGTACTGTGCTAGTACGGTGTATCACAAGTCTCTCTGAGGCACAGATATAGTGCGTTCTCTGAGCAACACCGGATGTCACTTAACAGGCAATTCGGATCTCATTGGTTATTAGGGATTCAGCTCATCTCTGCTTGCTTGAGTTGTGTCTGCTTAGTATGCGCCTAGATACCTACCTAGATTCCTACAACAACAATAACCGTATGGAAAAATAAACCATTATCATTCTTCCCACAAAAGGCGGTGTATTTATTATTATGTCCGGTTTTGTCAATTGCAGGTACTAAGGTAGTATTTTGCTGGTCACCTGCGCGTACGTCAAAGTTGTGTTATGTAATCGGTACGCTCACGCGGATAGTAAATGTTTGTTCCTAACAAACGTAAAAACTACTAGCGACCATAAATTGGTTTGTTTTGGTTCTCTAATTGCTAGACATCTTCGACCAGAGTCGTATCGAGAGAGAATTGACACAAGCTTACGAGTGCGGTTGAAAATTTTCGGGCGTAGGTACACAAAAACTTAATGTTACAGTTGGCCGTAGACAATATTTTGTAATATATACAGGGTTAGTCAAAAGTGTGGAAACCCCCAAAAATCTCAGCGGGAAAGCATTTTTGGGATAAATGATGAGGACAAAAGACCTTGAGGTCAAAGTCAAGGTTCAAAGTCATATCAAGATCAAGTGCATCCGAATATGACATTGACCGAGACCTCAAGGTCAAAGGTCAGTTCAAGGTCACTAAAAAATTCTCTTCTATTCCATCGTCGAAAATAAAAAATGACAGTCGGAATAATCACTTGACCTCTACCTGACCTTGACCATTGACCTTAAGGTCACGTTTAATATCATAATAACATGTAGAATTCTACGCTCTCTTATTTGTAGTGTTAAAATAAGGGGTCGCTACTCTAAAAACCGATATGACCTTGACATGTTCTTTGGGCCTTGACCTCAGGATTAAGGTCACTAAGGAATACCATCAGGTATCTACTTAAAGACTGTCACTCCCTCTGATTCCGTAGTTAAAAATAAAAAATTACAGTCAAAAATTAACGTTTGACCTTGAACTGACTTTGACCATTGACCTTGAGGTCACGGCCAAAGTTATATTCGGATTTTCTGCTCTTTCCATTTCCGGGATCGAAAAGGAGGTTGGCCATTTAAAAATACCGTCTTGATCTTGATATGACCTTGAACCTTGACCTCAAGGTCAAAGTTACCATCGGATGCGCCGTGAAAAATGCTGAGATTTTTGTCCTCACCATTTTTCCCAAAAATGCTTTCCCGCTAGATTTTTGGGGGTTTCCATACTTTTGACTAACCTTGTATATATTTATTATCTTTCAACAGACCGTTCTGGATGTTGATTCTAATTATATTTTTACGAATCTTTCAATAGTGACCAGAAGAAAGTAATACGGTGTTTGGATTAACTTCTAACATTAAAAGAGTCTAATTTACCTGCATCGATGTTTCGCAAAGCTTCTGTTAAGGACTTCTCTCTCTGTTTTTTCTCTATAACGTTACATATCTGCCAACATAAATTAATGTCAGCCAAATTCGTGTTGCAGTCTAATATTTTCCATTTCCTATTCTTCAAATCCTGTAACAAAAAATATCATCAGTAGCATCGATGTTTCTATTAATGAATGCATTCTTTTCCCCAAATAGATCTTTTGTTGAATTAACAGTGTTCTATAATAGCTAGAAGAATTATTGAAAAGCGCGTATTAAATATTTGGTTCTATTTTCGTCGTCTTAAAGTGGCGTCCCAAATGAACTGTATCTGTCATAAAACAGGCAGTATCACATTTCCATAAACTGTTTCGTATTGTTTCTAGGCTTGTATAAACCACGATAATGACCCAAAACAGCTGTACTAGCACATAAAACAGGCTATTGTGGGAGAATACAATAAACGATTATGTCAGTTTAAAACGTCCTTCACAAAACTTTAAATGAAACCGAGACAAGTTGGAGGCTTTGAATTTTTTAGAGTTTTATGTATGTTTAAAATTATAGTAGTTACTTATACAACAAGTCCGTAAAGTGACGCTCTTTTCACGGGTGAAAAATTATATTTTATGTACTTGTTATATACGATGTTTTTTCCATCACCGATTAAATATATTTTTTAAATTAAACTGTAAACAAATCCTTCGATTTCATTAATTCAGTCAAATCTAATTATGAACCATATAAATATATACTTTACGCACTAATGCGAATGCGTAGTGTACACAGTACGCAGTACCTATGCGTAACGGTAGTATTTTACGCAAAGTAGTAGAAGAAATTTATTGTTTTTGATCAAGATACCATTTTGAACTTGTTCTTTTTTCAGGAATTATCAAGATCTTAACAAGCATGGAGAAATCCATGTTTTATATACTTTTAGGGATACTGTCTTGTAAAGTACTAAAAGTCTACACGGATACATCGACAGGTATGCAGAATTATACGTAAAAACGATATTTTGTCAGTTTTAGCTTTTTCTTTTTTCAAAGTACATATCTTTTTGCAGATACTTTATATTCAGATACAGAATTTATATCTGATAATTTCGAAAATATAACCGCAGTTACAAATACAACTATATTACTGCAGTGTCCGACTATAAAGAAAAGCAAAATACAATGGAGACTACTGAGTGATGTCAATAGCCCAAAAGGGAAGTTATTAAAGGTAAACGCATATTTATTGCTTTTAAAAAATGATAGAGCAAGACGTCAGCATTCTTCCACTTCAATACTATTTTGAAGAATTCTAATGAAACATGATAAACAATTATGCCATTTTTTATATACAAGGAGGCCTTATTTTCTGAGAATTAATTTTTATAATTTCATTCTGTTTTGAGTTGGAGGACAAAATAAAGTGACAGTTTCTACCGACTGATTTTATAGCACTAAACAATTAACAGTATAATCAAACAATTTAAAGTTATGGCGACACTTCAATCTGCGAATTCCAGCCATTAAGATGATGATATACTGAGCTCATCCTTCATTAACAAACAAAATATTGATAAGTACTTCAAGGTTAGTCGATTTGTTATGCGAATAATGCATCGATTTGTCCGGCATATATGAAGTGTTCGATGTGCATACAGGGTGTGACTTTGAATTGGGGTCATATTTATAAGGTGGCTACCTTTGACCTTTGAAACATAAGATTCTTTTCTCAAATTTTATCATCCTATCGTATCATACCAGGTGTGAAGTCAACCGGCAGTAGCTGCTTTTCAGAGGCGACAATACATTTTAATTAAACAGCAGAGCCGTTGCCCTTCGTGAGTCTTAGGAACAGGATCGGATTCTATTTATTTAAACTGTTCACGACTTAATTTTGTTTATTTTGGATTAATTTAGTATTTTATAATTCAGCTAAACTAGGACAATGTCAGAAGTCGTTCACACACTACATAAAAAAATAGTAACATATAATTGTTTATAAAATGAGATTAGTAAGTTCTTTTATTATTTTTTTTATTATGTACATTTTAAAAACGGTAAAAAATAAGTTTTATTTAGAATTAGTAACATACTTACGAACAAATATTAGTTAATATTTCATGAATCCTGTAAAAAATTTTATGTTTTCAAAAATGACATAATGCTTTTTTAATGTTCGGCTCATCGTCCATAAGAATATGGTGACTTTAAAATAACATGTCGCTAAGCCACAGAAAAGCAATGTTTTACTAAACTATTTTCCGTTGTCGCTTTCTAACACTTGATACAACTTACCACACTAATTCCCGATGGCCCGGTTTACGTCACCCAGTGGTGGCGTAAGAATTAAAGTACCATTTAAAAACCTAATTATTAGTCGACTATTTGATCAAAAAAACAAGAATTTGGGATTCATATTCAACACGTACTGACCCCCACTAAAAGTTACATCCTGTATAAGTCACTGGAAAACTAAAACTGAGTCCGTGGCTCGAACTGTTTCCTTTTTTTTAATTTAAGGCCATTTTAAAGTTCTTAATTGCATATACAGAACGACGGAGCCTAAAAATGCATTTTTCAATCATCTTTTTCAGTATAAATATAAATAAGTAGTTTACAAATTTAATTTTCTTTGCCTATAGAGATTCTTCATGAATATATCTACAGGGTGTAAGAAGTTTGACTGCCATTACTTCAGCATGATATAGAGTAATCATAAATGAACAAAAAACTATATTTCAGAGGTGTAAGATTACCTAACAGTTTTCAAAATACAGCGAGTATTAATATTAGTAAATTTCATCACAACGTGACAACAGCGCTTAACCAAACGCTACACAGCTTATGCATACCACGTGTGCACGCGGGAGACTTGTCCTATGGAAAAAATGTAAACAACTATTATTGTGAAACACTTAGTAAATTTAAAGACAATTGTTTTCCAGTTTTTAAATAAATAAAATAAAATGTAGTACGAAGATAGTGTTATGCTTAAATTTTAGCTCGAATTTTAGTAATTATGAATCTCTTAAAACAGGAACTTAACTTTTAATCAAATTATGGATTTGAAAAATATGTAATTAAAGTATCCAAAGATTCACGTCATCCATATAATCATATGTATTACAAATAATTTAGGTACTTACCAAAAAGCAAAATTCAGTAATTTTTAAACGCACGAGTATAAAAAACCACAACATATGCTCAAAATGACCACTCGCTGGAAAACACCTCAAAAAAAGGAAATAGTAGTACACAAGAAACACTCCGTTACGGTCGAATTCTAGATACCAACTGAATTGTGTATTGGTGGACAGCTTAGTACCTCGTGTTAATCGCCGCGCCGTTGTCACATTGCTCGGTATGAATTTTATCGAATTTTACATTTATTGCAACGCTAATTGTTTTTTAGAATTGAGCATAAAGAAGTTCAAAAAAGTGATAAACATTGTATTTTATGGTATTCTATGTACGCAGTTGTCAGTATTCCCTTAATTAATCGAAGTTTTGTACATCAAGTTGAAGATTTTGATAATTTTTTTTTTCGGAAATGGTTTTTTGTTTATTTTAATGCATTCTATCGTCTGTTTAAAATTAAGGCAGTCAAACTTCTAACACCCTGTATAATTTTATTTCTTAAATAACACTACATAGAGGTTTATGTCGTCAAATGTTACATTAATGTAATATTTTCTATACCATTCGCTAAGCAATTTTCAAAAAATATTTTATTGACTTACACTCCCGTTCAGAATCTGCTTATACCCTTCAATGTTACTTTTTATGTTGCAGGCCGACTCATATTCATACGAACTACGTCCAGTAACGCCACAAGACAGAGGCATCTACGGTTGTTTTGCAAACGAGACCCTGTTAAAAAAATACAACTTAACGGTGTTGGAACCTCCACATTTTACTAGAAAATTGCAAAGACTAGCAGTCAAACCAGCAGGAAATATGATTAAATTGAACTGTAAGGCTGGGGGTTTTCCCCAACCTAACATCACGTGGTACAGAGACGACCAATCACCACCCAGACGGGAACTGGGAGAAATAAAATTCAATCACTGGTCTTTAACTTTGGAAGATTCAGTAACAAATGATAAGGGAAACTATACTTGCGTCGTGTGCAACGTTGTCGGTTGCATTAATTTCACATTTATAGTAGACGTTGTCGGTAAGTATCGTTAGGGCGGTTTCACACGGTACGACATTTGTCGCTCGAAAATCTAGATACGAAGTACACGAATGAATTTGATCTTGAGTTCCAATTTTCAAAAAAAATTACAACGATGTATATACTCTTTAAAAGCGGAACGATCAAGCTTTCTGATTATAAAAAAATATATAGGGTGTTCTATTCACCACTTGTGAGGAAATTATGAAATGATCTGTCATTTTTTTTCTTTTGAACAACAGAACGCTACCCTTCAAAACCATATATAAAAGATGGATACCCACAAAACTTGACCGTATTGGAAAATCGAACAGCTACGTTTAAATGTCCTCAAATAATAGTCGATTTAGAGCCTTTTATACAGTGGTTTCGACTTCGTAACTATTCAGAACAAACTGGCAACTACACCAATGCGACGCTTTTAAAGGTATTTCACATTTTACGATGAAATTCAGAACAACAAAAATGAACCTACAGGATGTTCCAAAATAACGTTAATTAAATTAATAGTTTTGATTTGATTTGAACGAATACATTAGAATAGTTTCAAAACGCAAAATGCAAATGCGTTTTAAAAAATTATTTTACTCAAAAACGGTGCACCTTTGTGCCACGACACTAAATTCAATTTTTCAGTAAAAACCTTGAAATTTTGTCACCGTTCTAACCGCTGGTGACGATGTTTGAATTCTAATTGTACACTGTCAAGCATAAAAATTTAGTACAAGTGCAAAATTTACGTATCCTCAAACGTTTCGAAAACATTAAACAAAAACCATCTTCAGAGTTCAACTTTGAATACCCTGAACATTATTTTGAGCCACATGAAGTGTTTTTCGTAAAATCGCCTTAGCAATCGCCTCTTAAAATATCTATATGTTGTTTTGGAACACTCTGTTTAAATAAATGTAGTTCGGCAATGGAAGCGTTATTGCCAAAACAACTTTGAAGAATACATTTTTTGCAGAAATTAACTGTTATATCGTTTCTGTTGCTGAATAGGGTGAATTGTTCTGGTTTTGACTTAAATTTTTGGTGGAGGTACTGCTTTCTCAAGGTGGCTGGTCTTTCGGATTTAGGTTTTCGTTGTTAATAATATGTATGTGGTGATGGCACTCTTTGTGTCCTTTTTAGAGAGATATCACAGCAAGCCAATCTTAACAACTGAACTGGAGAACACTACAGTATCGGTGGGTGCTAACCTTAGTATGAAATGCAAGTTTGTCTCTGACTTACATCCTCACATAACATGGGCTAAGTCGAAGACTATGTTCATGAATGAAACTGAGCCTGTAGTTCTTCAGGTATTGAGACATTTTCCTTTTTTTTACTGTTATTTAGCAAATCAAAATGTAGTTTGTCGATAATACTTTATATTCCAAGTCTTCTGCATGTTTGTTACTGCTTAGTTTAGAGTTCTTGCATTTAATTTTATTTTTTCATCATTAGAAAAGTGGTACTGGCAATGTAGAACCCGAAATGTTTGAAATCGTCAACGTGACACACGATGACGAAGGTTGGTATGCCTGTTTTGCTTCCAACAGCCTCGGCACTACCATGTCTAAAGCCTATTTACAAGTCGTGGACGAAGAACCAAGTAATAAAGCACCAGATTCTCTATTGTTCCAAGGAATGAATAATATATTATTTTTCAGAGACTCCAGGTCCGAATGATGAACCAACAAACTTTTTTATTATTGTAATAGTCGCTGCTATTGGAGCGGTTGTAGTAGTATCTGTCTTAACCTGTATGTGCATACATTTTAGACAGAAAATTAAACGGTAACTGACAAATCTTTAATTAAAACCAAAGCTACATTTCATTACTTTCAGGGAAAAGATAGAAAAGATGATAGCTGTGGAGACAGCAAGAGCTGCTATCACAACAACACAGTGGACCAAGAAAGTCATAATCGAAAAAATGACAAACGCGTCAGAAAATGTTTCTGAACCATTGGTAAGTGGTTTACCAACGCCAATGTACCTACCACTGGTTTTATTTCTTCTAGTTGATGCCAGTTGTGAAGATAGAGAAACGAAAAACTCAGACGAACAACAGGGGAGACAGCATGATCTCAGAATACGAGCTTCCAATGGATTCCGATTGGGAGATACCAAGAGATATGCTTTGTTTGGGAAAAAATCTTGGAGAAGGCGCTTTTGGTAAGGTTGTCAAAGCTGAAGCTGTCAGTTTACTCAAACCTGGTAGTACCAGCATAGTGGCAGTCAAAATGTTAAAAGGTATGTCTTTGAACATGTCAAAGTCATTTCTAACTTCTTACTTTTAGAGGGTCATACTGACAATGAAATGATGGACTTAGTGTCAGAGATGGAGATGATGAAAATGATAGGCAAACACATAAACATAATAAATTTGTTAGGTTGTTGTACACAGGGTGGCCCATTGTACGTCGTTGTTGAGTACGCACCATATGGAAACCTTAGGGACTTCTTGAGACAGCACAGACCCTCCTCCGGGTATGAACAACCTCTTGGGGAAAAGACAGAGAAAAAAACACTCACTCAAAAGGATCTGGTGTCTTTCGCTTACCAAGTGGCAAAGGGCATGGAATATTTAGCTTCAAGAAGAGTGCGTAATTTTTTAAGTTTATTACTACATTTTTTTATAACGTACTTTTGTTTCCAGTGCATTCACAGAGATTTGGCAGCTAGAAACGTTTTGGTCAGTGATAACTACATACTTAAAATTGCAGATTTTGGTTTAGCTAGAGATGTCCACTGCAATGACTATTACAGGAAAACAACAGACGGAAGATTGCCAGTGAAATGGATGGCACCAGAAGCCCTTTTTCATAGAGTTTATACCACGCAGTCTGACGTTTGGTCTTACGGAATATTACTTTGGGAGATTATGACTTTGGGAGGTTAGTTAGTTTTCTCTGCTATTAAAATTCTACCTGAGAATTAAAAATTGTTTCAACAGGTTCGTATATTGATACATGTATGTATTGGAATGCATTATATATTGGTTAATAAATATAGAAGCCAACGGAACTTTTTCAATTATGCTCTAATGGGGATATTTAGTAATTTGCGGTTGGCAGCATTGCGTTGCGCATAACCTTCTCTGTAACCAAATGTATTTGGTTTGTTAAATATCTCATTTAGTTTTCGTGATATTGTTATTTGAGTGTAACGTGTTTAAGTGTTAGTGACGATTTTTAAAATGTGCGATTTTTTGGAACAACGTTGCAACGTAAAATTTTGCGTGAACTCGGAAAAACTAACTTTCACGAAAACGTTTCAACTGTTTGAGATGAGGTTCAGGGTCGTACGTAATGTTATGAATAGTTTTCATGATTTAAAAGTGGTCGTCAGTCAATTGAAGATGATCCTCGACCAGGAAAGCCTTCGATTTCAACTGATGACTTCTATGTTCATCAAAGATCTGGTGTGTGCAAATCATTGACTGACTAAAAGAGATCAGAGTGTGGCGAGAAAACTCATGGTTCTTGCACCATGACATGCGATAGCACACTCAGCATTGTCAATTCGTCAGTTTTGTTCCAAAAATCGGATTACTGTCCTCGGTCACCCTTCTTACTCGCCAGACCTGGCTCCTTGCGAGTTTTTCTTATTTCCTAAATTAAAATCAGAGGCTGAAAGGACGACATTTTCAGACTATTCATCATCAAAGCAAATTCGTGACAGACTTTAAAGGACATTTTAAATGAAGCTATCCAGGAGAGCCTCGTGAAATGAAAACACCGCTGGAAAAAGTGTATGAATAGGGGTGGGGAGTATTCCGATGGAGACAAGGATCAATAATGTAAAAAATAAGGACCCCGTACAAAATATAAGTAAAAAAAAAGTCGGTCGAATTGGCTGAAATTAGTTATAGTTTTTAGCATTCTGAATCGAAAGTCTCAATGGGCCCAAAGACCGGTTATGCATAGTTTCCGAGATATTGGGCCTCAAAGTGGGCATCAGCAAGTCTGAATAATTGTTTGCAGACCAACATTATAAATGATATATTCCTGGTTTGACCTTGAAATGACCTCTAGGTGACCATGCAGAGTCGTGCAAGACCCATATTCGGATTCAGCGACCTCAAACACCCTAGTATACCTCATCAAGTCTGGTAATGAACTGTTGGTCTGCAAGTAATTATTCAGACTTACTGAATCATCCCTCCTAAAAGGCCCAATTTAAGGCCCAATATCTCTGAATCTATGCATAACCGGTCTTTGGGCCCATTGAGACTTTTGTTCAGAATGCTAAAAACTATAACTCTGCAAAATTTCAGCCAATTTGACAGGATTTTTTTTTTACATATTTTTTGTGCGGGATGCTTTAAAATAGTTCGGTTATTTTCTGAACAGGCCTCGTAAGGTGCAGTCGCCAACTCGTGACAAACTGTCGTGTTTCCCATAGAAAGAAGAAAGTTTAGATCATCGATATATTATGTGGAACTCACTCAATTAAGCGAAAATACATACTCAACAATAAATTGATGGTAATTGTTATTGAATAGCAAAAAAAAAGAAATACTATTCTGTAGCGCAACTGAGTGAACTTTGTCTACGCTCCACTAGATGTCGTTAGCATTACCAAATGCAGTATAAATTGTCTACACTTGAGAAAAACAAATTACAGTAAAATAACCTCTTACCACAGCACACTTAAACAGTAATTTTAAAAATAGATTACAATATACAAATAATGAATATTAGGTAAATTTAGGACACATTAGGATACAGATTAATTAGGACACAGATAATATTGCTGAAAACCATTTGATGGCATATTTTCAAATGATTTATAAGGTTTAAGGTTTTACTTAAAATTTTGTGAAAATTTTATTTAAAGGACCTTCATGCAAAAAAATATTACAATATTTAAATTTCACTGAATTATCACTATTTTAGTTTTTCATACTAAACTTAACTAAATTTTGTATAGTGTATGATAATTTAGTTAAGATTTCAAAATTTCTTTGACGTGTCATCTAAACAAATACTTTATTCTTTCCTTCCTACTTATAGTTAGAGTTTAAGAGTTCTTTGTAACACCGGCAACACTGTATAGTTGATATCACATACCACAGTGAAGTCGGCGGTTCTCAAAAAGTTTTCTGTAAAAAAATTATGCATATTCATTTTATATTTTCTCCTTTCTAATTTTTTCAGAAACTGTACAGTTTACTGTACCGCTTTTGAAAATATATGGATGTATTTAAGCTTCACCCTGTATTTCAATTGGTCAGGTTACTTAAACATCAGGGTTGTACATCTTGTGCATACGCGGAAAATACATAGGTGGTTTTCATCTGAAAATCCTTTCCTTTGTAGGTACACCTTATCCTTCTGTTCCAAGTGTGGAAAAACTCTTCCACCTGTTAAGAAATGGGCACAGGATGGAAAAACCTCCGTGCTGTTCCTTGGATATCTACATGTTGATGAGGGAATGTTGGAGCTATCAACCAAACGAACGTCCAGTTTTTTCCGAGCTAGTTGAAGACTTGGACAGAATTCTAACGATCACGGCTAATGAGGAATATTTGGACCTTGGCCTTCCGCAACTAGATACTCCTCCTTCAAGTCAAGATTCGAGTTGTAACGAGAACTTCCCGTTCCCCCAAATAAGCTAGACGCTATTTATGTTAACTTTGTGTTAGCAGCTTTTTGTTATGTCACTCGTTGTGGAAAGTCTAGTGCACCCAAAATTGTCAATATTAAGTGTAATCATCGATCTACCGCTGTGATGAGTGGAATGTCACGCCAGACTGTCGAGTTTGTACTAGTGATCGTTTGCTAATAAATATGGTTCAGTGACATTTTTTTTGTATTTATATAGCAGACACGACTTTAATCATGGGTGGTATTAAAAAGTGTAATTAAACGATATAGTGACTATGGAGGAGGTGGTATCTAACATGACCCCTGGTGCAGTTTTTCAGTTCAGAGACTAGTCAGTACAGCATTTACAGAAATAGTAAGTTTTTCATACCCATTTTATACTAACCCTTCTAGATTTTATGTTTTTGGGGATGCTCTTTCAGATGCTGACCATAGAATGTGGAGAAAAAACATTGAGACCAAGAAATCGGGCTTGCAAGTTGAAAAACACCGCAATTTTTTCCTTTTTTCAATCTTTATACCCACTGTGTTTTGAAGACTTTATCACATGGTGCGTTTTATTCGAAAAAAGAGAGCTTTCTCGGAAAATCTCAAGAGGTACAAAAGTCTTAGAGTTAGTCAAAGAACACGTCGGAATTATCCCAGAATTTTTTTGGGCCATTTTTCAAATTTTCGACTTTTTGCCAATTTTGACCAAATTGGTAGTCTCAGAAGAAAATGGGGAAAAATTCCTGAACTTCTATCGATTTTTAATATTTTCGTTACAATCACATTCGATACTTTGCCGGAAATTCTTCGTCTCCCAATTCGAATTTTGGTAATTTTTGATCAAATTTTGAAGAGTATTCGAAAAATATAGAGATAAAAGTATTCAGAATCAGAAGAGGAAGGTCCAGGAATGTCACACCATTTTTTTCTGAGACTTTATTTTGGTCGAAATTGGACAAGTAGAAAAATTGAAAAAAATGGCCCAAAAAAGTCTGGGAAACTTCCAACCGTTGTAAAAATCTGAAGCTACCATTTTCCGATTCAGCCGCCATTTTGGTTCATCAAGTAATCAAATCGATGCGCACATCATGGACTCTGTAAGTTGAGAGATTTTATGCGCTGTGCCTATTGGTTTTGGGCACGTGCCTTAGCCATAAAGTCTTCAAAACACGGTATAAAGATTGAAAATAGGAAAAAATTACCTACGGTGTTTTTCGACTTGGTCTGATTTTATGATCTGAATGATGGCCCTGGTTCAAAGATACCCTTTTGAAAATCTGATTTTGAGCGCCAATGGGTTAACATAGTATTAGAGTACGATTATGTCTAATGAAAATAAGTCATTAATACTCAAAACAAATCTTAAAATTTGGCTCCAAATAATTCAGTTGTATCAAACGAATCTAAAGTAATTTTTGTGCTATCGAATCTAATTTTTGAAAAAAAAAATTCAGTCTAATTTGACAACACTACGCACAACCCTGGAATGCCATTCATAACACTGTACACTTTATGTAGTTTCAGAACATCTTTAATGAAAAAATATGTATTTACTAAATAATTATTATTTATTGCTTCAATTCGCCATTTGCAATTCGTGATGTCATCGAAGTTCCTCCACCCTGATTCATCTGATGTATCATGAAATTATGGTACATACGGTACAAATCCGTAATTAGGGTATGTCTGGCAATGCTGATTGAGGCAGAAATAGTTTATTGGTGAAAATAGGAATAGTGAGGGCAGGAGGAAGCTGTCAACATTTTTATAAAGCTATTTCAAGATTTCTTACGTATGGTTTAAAAAGATGCTTATTTATTTACTCAGTTTTTCCCATTTCTATAAAAAGTTAGAATTTAGAGTTCTGTGTAACACCAACAACACTGCATAGTTGATCTGTGCCAATTGTAAATTTTCAATTAAGCAATCAGGCATATTTAAATTTTAATTTGACTATTAGGTATATGTGTATTTAAGGTTCATCATGTATATTTTGGATGGGAATATGATTCACGGGAAAATAGGAACTTTTTTCTCATAATACTTAATGTTTGTGCAATGAAACAACTCATTTTGTTTTTTCTTTTTAGTTGATGCCAGTTGAGAAAAAACAACAAAATACATTAAGGAATCTGATTAGAAAAACAAGTTTTTGCCTAAAAACATTTTTGAAGGTGGTTAACTGACTTTGAGGCTGCTAATGTTTTCAAATGTTTAAAGTTCTAGCTAGCACTGTACAAAAGTACAAAAGGATATATTGTTTACGAAATGTTTGAAAGCATTAAATATTTAATTTGAAGCAAAGTAAGTAATTTTGCGTGTTTTACTTCCACTTTCTAAGTTATTTTGTTATTTTTCAGTACATGTTAAGATTTGGCAGCCAAATCGTGTTGGACGTGGGTGATATTTTGAAAACTGTCGATATTAGTATATTAGAGATGCTGTAATTGCTACAGACAACGGATTTAAGATTTCCAGTACCCTCGCCGTATAATACATACTCTAGTCGCTATGTGATAAGTTTAAGAATGGACAAAAAGGGATATTCTTCATGAAAATTGTTCTAAAGATTGCGATTTTCATATAGAAAATCAAACGATGAGAAGAACAATCAGATTGTGTGGTACCAATAAGTGTTACATTTCCAAAATATTGTGAGTAAAAAAATTAGGTTCGGATGAAGTGGTACTAAATAATGATCTCTGGTACAATACTTTCCAATTATAATGAGTCAGTCTGCCTTTATAATGTCTATAAAAGTACCTGAATATCTACCACTATGTTTAGGTGCAAAAATAACTATTTAGTATTGGTTTATATTATTCACAGTTCTTTAGTTACAGTTCTACCAGAGATCTTATTACATACAATAAAACATTGTTAGTTTTACGATTGTATATATTGTAATTATTTATTGTATTAAATAGACTTTTATAATTTTTTGTGTAGATTTATTATATTTATACTCATCTCACAGTATATTCAGGTAGGTTTACAATTTTCTAAAAGTAAATTTTCATAAATAAAAAAGTTTACCAGTTAAAGATCATTTTCTTGAAAATCGATATTACCTATTTTTTGTCTACTAAATTCGATAAACAGCCAAAGGTATTATAATTAGTCGATCCTGTATTGAGGACTTTGTTTTATTGTGGATTGTGATTACCCGTTAGCTGTTCAAACTTTATGACCCCACGTTGAGCGCCATAATATACAGGTGGTCCTGCACCTTCATACATCTACTGGGTTGAGCGACGGTACCTGTGTTCTGCGGTGCCGGAAGGTTAATCATGTGACCGGGATGGTCAATCGGGTCAATGTTTTTGTGTGGGCTCTAAAATTTATAAGAGCTTATATTTAAGAAGATCCCTTGGGGTGCCTGATATGGAAGCTTTAGGAATTTGTATCTCCACCGAAGGATTCGACAATGCTTACTTAGGTGATATGAGTAACAAGATCTGTGGGAGCTTAGAACTTGTGAAATGTTTTAGGAGAAATTTTTAACTCAGTTTTGATTTATAAAAAATTAATTTAAATTTTTTGTTCAATTACAATAAATGAAAGCAATAAGACTATTTGTATATAATTCAAAAGCAAAAATTTGGAAAGTACAAGTGTATTAGCCAGAGCCAGGTATCCATCCACGGTTACTAAGTTGATGGGTACTCGGGTGGACGTTTGAACACAGTCCAGGCTGACCCCGCAAAGGTTCTACAGTAGTGACCGCATTGAGTATCGAAAAATTGGTCTCCTTGGAAAACGTCCTTCCTGGAATAGTTGCACATTCCGTGGAGTCATTGAACCAAAAATAGTTTTGGTGTTAATGTTGACCCTAAGGGCTTACTGCACTTCAGATTTCGAAATTGTGAAATTTTTCGCGCCTTTATGTGCCGTCGGCGGTGGCTGAGCGATCGATGGCATGTGCTGTCAGCATCGTCTGCTACGGCTGATGGAGTTTGGCGACAATTAGGGCTTCGTAGGGGAATTTCGGGAAAATTTCGAAACATACGAGAAATTTTGTTTCCGCTCTTCGCCTTCCGGTGTGCGTTGTAGTTCATCTGCAGTTTCTTGTCCATAGTCTTCCATTAGTCGATCCATTAATTGACTGTTTTATTTTTTTGATGACTCAAACTATTCACAGGAAAGAGCAGTACGCAATATAATGTCTAGAGCTTTTGTTTCCACTGAATACCTACTTACATTACATTACGTTACGTTAAGAATTAACGTTCTAATACAATAAGATACACATTATAAATATATTAAAAATAAAACCAAAAGGTGCCTGGAAACTGTTACCAAAAAAAATTTGGGGCTTATTCTACCAAAATATCGTAAAGACAGGTCACTATGACCCTTTTCTAAAACTTCAACGAAGTCACATAACCTCAACGTTATTTTTTAGTTATATTTAGTCATTTTTTTAAATTTGGCCCATATTGTCTAGGAAACTGATCACAAATTATTTATTTGCGGTTTTTTAATCTTTGATAGTAATAGATCGATTTTTTGATATTTACACTTGTTTAATTATTTTGATATATTTGTAACCAAATGGGTTAATTGTGAATTGGAGGACAAGAGACTTCAATTGGGTGAGAAGTATTGAAATAGCATTGTATAATCGTTTTAAGAGGCAGATTGAGAGAGAGTAGCCTAGTGCGCTATCGATTGCAATATATTGTTCCGAGTTGCCTTATTGTTGTTGATGATGATGATTAATAATTGGATTTCATTGGCTTGTTTTTTCTTTGAGTTAACACTATACCATATCGTCCCTCTTATCACGTAGGGGCGTATAATCCAAGAAATGGATATACACATACGCCTCTACGTGATAATAGGGACGATATATTGTTGGTACTAACAAAAAAAATAAATCTATCAACAAATACGAGACGAACTATTACATCACAATCAAGTAATCACATTTCATAATTTCAAACGTTAATTTAAAAATTTTATCGTGTTTTTTTAAAACTTCAAAAGTAATATAATATTTGTAGTGCATATTTTTTATCATGTTTCGTTGAGGAGTTATTGAGCGAAACCTATATGTCGTCCGAAAATGCTATACTATAAGCCTTAATTTTTTGTTGGACAGTCTGTGTACGTGTAATTATTTTGATGTTTATCGCGAGAAAGTTGCGTGTATATTGATTGAGACGCAGGAATGAGAACTGGACCAAAGCGAGAAGTGAGGGAGGTTGGAAGTTGGAAGGAAAAGATTGCAGACACACCCTGAGCGGATGAAAATCCTGCGTCCTGCGCATTGGCGACATATCTTACCGTGATCATTCAGTATTTACACGATATTTTGCTAAATTTTCACCATAATAACGCATCCGCGTAACTGTTAGTGTTTCCCTAGTAGTAAGAAAAATTGAGCAAAATTTTTCTTGCACTAATTAGTAAATATTGGTGTAAGTTGCTTCCAGAGCAAAATATATGTTTTCCTTTAATTTTGCACTAATCGTTGTCGTTACACCTTTTTCCTCTTTTGTTCGAAATAAAAATTAATGTTAATTTTAAATAAAACTTGTTTATATTTCGATGTAATTTGTGTTTTGGTGTAATCATTTGCTATAAAGGGATAGTAGACGTGTTTGGTTCAATGTTTACAAGTAGTGTTAAAAGTGTTAGATGTTATATTTGTTGCTGTCAGAGCTAGTAGTTATAATCGCATCGGACGTGATTTGCGAGGACAGTTCTGAGCGCAGCTTTCGGAGACAATATTCAGCTGAAGATGTATCGATTGATCGCCCGAAATAAGACAGTTTGTTAGTCGAGTGTCCATGATAGAACAGACAAATGTATACAGCAGGTTTAATAAATATGCGTTCATATCAAAACCAGCGATGTAAGTAAGCATCTCAAGTAGGTATCGTTGATAAAACTAGTCGCGCGCGAGTGTAAGGATGTTATTGATCTCTTCGATAAGGATGCTGGGGCCTAGCCACGTGTTTATGTCCCTCTGTTCTTGTAGTATCTTTCAGTTATCCTTTATTTTCTACCACTATTGATCTGTAATGGAATAACGAAGCTGCCCCCAATGTTGAAGATCCCCGCACGTTTTAAACAATGTGACCTCAGTGTATCCCTTGCGTTTGATTATTGTGACTGCATTGTCAACATGGGTACGAGGGCTGCTGCATGTAAGCGAATTTTACCTTCTTATGTTATATATTATCCATTTCGATGTTGTATCACTGTTTTATGTCGCTTTTCCCGAGCCGACCAGAACCAATCACCCGCAAAAGTTTCTTTTCCAATTCACATCCATTCAATACCCCGCCTATTTGGTATCAAACAATATACCCATATATACTCGAATTTAAGAACAGTATCTCAATTATTTGTACGTTTTAATTCATTGTTCAAATTTTGCTGTGACAACTTAACCAAAACTGAACGGAATATAATATTTCTTATAACTTCAAAAACAATTTATTCCAAAAATTTCGTTTTGGCAATTTCTTAATTAAAACTTAATTTATTTTCATTTGGTCGTCATGGTAACATGACAACATTTTTGAAATCGTGGTCAGGGTGACCCGACTTATACAGGGTGTGCCAGTCAACACTCCCGCTGCCAATATCTCAGAAATGAAGATATTTATTTTAGTTCCGGAAACTGGGGTTGCTAGATCCCTCGAATAACTTCAGATTGTAGTTAGAACTGTTAGTTCAAATCTTTCTGTATAGATGGCGTGGCGATATTAAAAAATTTGAAAACGCAATCCATCTGAGAGATCGTTAAATTTTGAATAATTTTTGTAATATAAAGTTTTTCCCTATATTTACATACTTGTTTTCGAGATATGTCGACTTGAATATGCAATGTATGATGTAACAGCAAAATCTATTATTTTATTTATATCACTGAGAAAAAATATTCTTTTAAAATATTGTTATAATGGCTTTATTCACATCACATACTAACTAACAAACAATAAATTAAAAAAAAAAACGAATAATCAAATACAGAAAAAAAAATGTATAATGGTAAATTTTATAAGGGGGAGACGAACCGAATTTTATCAAATATTAAAAAATAGGTGGCTCAGGTCAATTGTTTAAAATAAAACGTATGACAGATGACATATTAGTTTTCCAATAATTACAGTTCTATTAGCTTGCGTCTTTCAATTTAACTATACTTGTTATAAGATTTACCATTGTACATTTTTTTCCTGTAGTTGATCAGTCCAGAGATCAAAACATTTTTAAGTATCGCCACGCCATCTATACAGAAAGATTTTAACTAACAGTTCTAACTACAATTTGATAATTCTCTTTTTATTGCAATTTGCTACTTTTTTACCATTAAGATATTTGCATCAGTTTAAAAAAATGATTTTATCTAGAAAAAAGCAAACTGTATTTTTTGCAGAAAACTATATAGGATCATATAAACTTTGTGATAAGACATTCATTTGTTTAACTTCCGGTTTGTCTGGAAATTTATTTCACCAGTATTTATTTTTGACTAACCTCGTACATTTGAGTTGCTCCAAATAGTATTTTTTTTAGTTTATGGTAAGTATTTCTATTTTTTCGATTATCCCGTTTACAAAATGACAAAGCTGTGGCATATTTTATAATGGCTGAATTCTTAATTCAAAATTCTATATATATATGATGCAAATTATTGATATAAATCTAAATTAATCAAATAAAACATTATTTTTACATATTTCTTATAATATAAAAAGATATAATTCAAATTAACGGGGTGTTGGCAACCCTGTCATATAGTGCCATAAAATTAAACAATCTGGCAAAAAACTTGACCGTTATTTCATTATTTTTAGATGAAATCAGTGAAACGAATTTGGCGGACAGTTATCACAGAATAGACTGTACTTTAATCGCGCCAACTATTAATGGGAAGCTCAACTAAAATCTCACACCAATATCCTTCTTTATTTAGTAATAGGATAGATATGTGGTAATAGGGAGATAGAGAGGTTATTTAAATAAACAAGTTTTATGTAATAATATGCAAGTACGTCACAAGTTAAAAACAATGGCATACAATTCGAATAAAAAATTTTAAAATCAAGTTTATATTCATTTTTAATACATTTAATTTTTTATGCAGACACCTCACTGGCCCCCATACAATTAAGTTTTTTTATATTTTTCCGCCTCAGTTTATTGTACAGGACGTTTTACAATTAAAAAATTAACTATTTTGATTTCTTGAAATACTATGTAACAATATTGCCAAAAACACTCAAAAAAATTTATCATAGCCATTTTCATAGTACGAAACGGGTGTAATTAGTAAATTGTAGAAAGGAAACTTTAGTATTTTAGACGATTAGTCAGAATTTAATAACATGGGTATGTACGTTTCGCATGATATGTTGCTTGATGGTTTGACAAACTCCTTTCTAACACGTATTCAATATTAAAATATTTAGGAATACTACTATGAACTAGAAATAAGTTTTGTGCAATATCTTCAGACACACAAAATAACTAAAATTCTGAATAACAATTCAACTCATGATTCATTCTAATAATTATTTTATTTGTTAAAAGAAATAATAATAATTGGCAACAGATAAATAAAAATTTTATTAACATAAATCGTAATACAAAGTGGATTAAGTGAGATGTCTTAAAAATAATGAAATTGTACCTAAAATCAATATATCAAAATAAAGATAATAAAAATCCAAAAAAATCTGCACTCGCATGAATAAAATTTGTTTTAAAAATTGCTGTTCACATGAAATATTTTTTTTTTCTTTTAAACACATTTTTCATAACGTAGGTGATATGGTAAAACACTTTTAAAAATACAAGTTATACAAGAATTTTGGAATATATTTTTTATTTTGTTATCTTTTAATTACGAATAGGAATGAAAAATAAACTATATTTTCACACATGCCAAGAGAATTATTTCTTGTGTAAAAAGTCTTTGCACGAAAAAAAAAGCATGATTGTACATATGTATCCCTAGAATAAAAACTAGAAAGGATTTTAATCCACAACCAAAACTAACGTGAATACTTGGAGAACAGGAAAAGTTTGGATCTAGGTCGGCCGATATCCTTACCCCGCAGGAATGTAATCTTTGAAATCAGTTACAGCCAAAATTCGCAGCCTATATGACTACCATCTGCGACTCATGCAAGGAGTTATGCCCCCTCCCTCAGGGGTTGACATAGCAAACACAATCAAATACTTCTCTCAAACCCTTCTGAGTAAGTATATAATACTATATTGACATAAAATTAACTCTTCATTAAAATGAATGTTAATGTCTTAAATACATAAGTAGAGAAATAATTTTCACATCATACTGGGTATCCCAATATTTCTAGTACATGGAACTACCAGATATTTATTATTGCTTCAAAAAAGGCGAAAAACATTTTTTTGTGTTATCCAGATTGCTTCGTTACATTTAAATGAAATTTGATATGCTAGTAACAGTAATAGCATTTTATTAATGTTGATACAGACAGTTTTATATAAGTCATATGGTTTAAAAAATACATGAACAACATTTATGATTTCAACATTTTATTACACATCTACATCATGTCCTGTCTCATTACACAGCCACACACAAAAAAAGTTGTCTGTACTTTTCATACGACATATGTTATCCATATCACGAATCCGAGATCAGATTTACAAAATTCGTTTCTAAAAATTTAATCAATTACCTAAGTACGTAAAGAAGGTTAAAACATGATTTACTTTATAACACAGGTTATAAAGTAAACAAATATATTACAAAATGAATTTCGCAATTCTGACCTCGAATTCGTAATCAGCGACCCCGAAAACCCCCGTATACCAAATTTGACGCGAATGTGTTATTTTTTGAAAATTTGGTCGGCCATCTTGGATCCGCCATCTTGAATTTTGTAAAATTGACCTCGGATCGGTGATCAGCGATTCCGAAAACTCCCGTATACCAAATTTAGCGCGATTGGGTTATTTTTTGAAAATTTGGTCGGCCATCTTGGATCCGCCATTTTGAATTTTGTAAAATTGACCTCGGATCCGTGATCATCGACCCCGAAAACCCACGTACACCAAATTTGGCGCGAATCTGTTATTTTTTTAAAATTCGTGACATCTGACCTTAGTTGACCTTGTTTTTAAGGTTAGAAAAAGAACCATCAATTCTGACCGCGGATTCACGTTCGGCGGGGTCTTAACCATATAAATGAACATTTGAATATAGAAAATTTGTATTTTTCCTAGCACTTTTTCGTGAATTTTTGCTATTTTTGACCTGTTTTTTGAGGTTAGGAAATTCCTATGTGATACCTCAATTCTGACACCCTCCAGCGGCCAAATGAAGCAATTTTGGATAGGGTAAATTTATTAAATGATTTGCTGACTTGAAATTTGTGGTAATTCCAAGTACAGGAAATATTAGCACAGCCCATATGAATAAATATCTTGTTGCAGCTGTCCTTAAAGATGTACCTAACTCGCCCTTCGAACTTTTGAAGAATCCAGAAATGGATGCTGTAAGGATGGGTCTCTTTCCCAGCCTTGACTACAAAGGTCTCTATAACTCTATTATCCCTCTTATTGAGGTCGCACCACTTATTCCTTATGGACTGCACGGTAATCCTCGAGGATGTACTGTTGCGAGTAATTCCAGTGGCATTACACGAGTTATTTTTCACCTCGACATAGACTACGACGTCATGGATTTTCTATTGATAATATAAGTCTGTAAAGTGTTATAATTTTAATTTTCTAGTACAAGTTAAGGGCTACAAAAAATTCATAGGGGTACCACTGAGAATACTCGCCGCAGTATAATTTTGAAATATTAGACTTTTCTCTTTTATTCTAATATGAACTCACATAGGAATGACCAGTCTAAAATGATCCTTCAAAAATTTAATTTTATTAAATTATTACTCGACACTTGCAGTCTGACGATTTGCAAGGCCGTGACGATAAGGTGACCTCTAATACGACAGTTGTCAGTGCCATCACCTCAACAAGTTATAATATAAAAAATGTGTGTTTCATACTAGTCTGTAAAATATTTACATACTCGTGTTAAAAACAGATTTTACATATGTAGAATACGTAAAGTTTACCGTTAATAAAGTTTTTTGAAAGTTATGACCGATACAATTCTTTTACATCAAATTGTTATGTTTCAACCTCGTGCGTGACACAAGGGTCAAATTTTGAACTGCTGCTGTTTAATTTATTTATAAATGATTTGGCTGATCAGGTAAAATTTTAGAAATCACATTTCACACCATGTTGTTGAATTCTCGACACGCAACTTTGTTGAATACTGCTAAACAGTATTTTGATGTTACAGAAATTTAGTTTCGTTTTGATAGTCACGAAATGTTCCTTGTCCTCCATATGATAATGTTGATTTCCCATTGAAATATATTTATCTACGCTGATACATTTTTATTCAATTTAAATTTAATATTATAAAATTATCTGTAGGACATAACATTTTATTGCTTATTTACCTTTAAATTATTGTCCTGTAAATGGTTTCTGTTAGGCAACGTAATTATTATTATTAATATTTATTATTATTATTATTATCTTACACATGATAGTAGAGAAAACCGTTTACTGTATGTTTTATGATCCTTTTTAGCATTTGGTCAGGCCATTCTCCAATGTCTCGGCTGTCTTCTTCCGTTCTTAGAGCATGACTTAATCGACAACCTACCCTACCTAGCAGCGTCTTCAATATCAGTTCTACCAAGCTCCTTACACCAGGATATAATCAACTCCTTATGCTTCTATATTTTACCATTTACGATCAGTAAGTACCCAATTATTTCTATTTAGTTGCTTTGCCTGTGACGTCACTTCAATGGTGACAGGTATGTCACTCGGGAAAGTGATGATACGAGACAATATGTATCGTCTACATGGGAACTGAATTTTTAGCTAGGCACACGGAGAGAGAACAAGACATCTGCCAGTCAGTTTCTGCAGTGATCATGATGGTTTTTCAATACTCAACCAACCCAGCACACCATTGTCAACTTTTGGAATGCCTTATGACCTTGAAGCAGAATATTTTGAAGGATATCTTATGCGTTATAGCGTATGGAACATCAGCCGCGCGTGCGTCAGCTGCTAAGCTATTGTTTTATTACTGGCCAACGTTCAACGCCAACTTGTTCGATAGGAAAAATCTTATATGCAAATTTGCTGGTGAGTATTTAATTCCATAAAAAATGAATATTCCTCCAAATGTATACGGTATTCTTTTGAGGAGATCCCACCCCATTCGTGTGCCAAAGGGATTCGTGTCCGAACGCAGGAAATGCAGAAGCTGCCAAGGTTTGTTACAATCACTGTATTTCTATAACCTTCGCAAATGATACACCACCTCCTTTGTATCTCTGCATCGAATGTGCGAACGAGATTCACAGAGAACACCCAAATCAACAGTTCTTCGATATTCTACACCCTATGCAGCAAGTTTCCATGGTCTGTGAAAATAAGGTATTTATCATTCATGTTTTTTAATATTCTCCGGAAGTACTAGACAAGTACCACTTATCTTTTTTTTTATCCACAAATAACTCCTTAGTCCTCAAATAATAAAAATATGTGTATTTCATTGAATAAACCAAACGGCCATTGAACCAAGATGCTTCAGCGTATTACAATTTAAAATTTAATTACTATTGTTAAATAAGATTGTACAATAAAGGCACTTAAAAATATATATAAATAGAAAAACTGTTGGTTGTTGGTCACTAACAACAACATCATATTTTTCTCAAATGTCTGAAATGATTGTTCTTGTTAAATTATCATTTGCAATTACATAGTATAGAAATTTATAAATTTGATTTATTTTTCTCATTTTTGCGAATTTTTTTCGGGTTTCTGAAAGAGCAGATTAGCATCCAGTACATGTTCAGATGCCCCGGACTGATCATCATTGCTACCGTTTTTATTTGTAGAGCTGTTTTATCTTTATTAGATGAAGTTGAAGGTTTCGGTGGTTTTTATCAGTTTTGTTTTTATTATGTTTATCTTCAGTCCCAATTATGTCTTTTATTTGTACATGACTTGAACATTCACCTTGATATACTTTTCTTCTATCTCTTTTTGTTTTGAGTCTATGCCTATTACACCATCATATATGTAACTTATTTTTCAATTCAAATTAGAAAAAAAAAAACACTTCCAACGGCAAGAACCAAAAAATATTTCTACGCTCAACGAATTAGAAATAAACACTGTGTCAATGTCACATTTACTTAATTCTTCCAGAATTGTCGCTCAACAGACAAAGCAGCCATCTCTATATGTTTTTCAACGGAATGTGCCAGTTACAACGGCAACCACCCGATTAGGTACTGCGAACAATGCCACAACAACAGGCACAATAATCGAAGGGGTGGTGACCATGTCGTACATAGATGTTTGCCCCCTACATGGTCTATGGACTCAGAAATGCAAACATATATGGTGGAAGCTATAGTTAGGTACTTTCATAGTTTACTAAAAAAGTTTGGTGTGCTACAACACTGTCCATTGTTTTAGTTTATTAAAAGAAGCCAAAGTGCCACAGATAGAAGCTAAAGACGAAAAGAAGGAGGGTGAAATGAAAGAAGGAAAAGAAGGAAGGGATGTTAAAGAAGGTAAAAGTCCTATTCCGGCTTTGGATAATATCACGATAGAAGAACGGCAACTTTTGGGAAGGTATGGTATTTGGTTGTTGGTTGGACGGTGTACTCCAACAGACAAAACCCCAACGGAAGTTCTGGGAAGATTGCTAGCTATGATATTTCACTGGTTTCATATGACGGCCTATTCTTATGACGGTATGATAGAAGTATAATGTTTTTTAAAATTTTTCTTTCCATCTCTTGCACTGGCTGAATGATTATTACTAGTACTGAAATATCTGACTTACGGAATTTGTCGAGAGAATTACGTTGAAAATTGTTAAATTTTAATAGTAATGGTAATCTGGAAAATTCTATGACATTTTTATGTCAATGTCAGTCTAGTAGTCTTGTATATAGTATATATAATAAAGCTAAAAAAAAAAATTTTTAAACAGTTCAGTCTAGAACAAACTTATTCTCTTTCTAGCAGAATCACAGATAATACCAAAACATGTCCTGCTAATATTTTTACAAATTTCCCAATTACACGTTCCAAAGTTTCAAAAAATGGTTTATCAAATCTCAATTAACAAATTCTCGTGTTCCAATGTAGTTTTGCACAAAAAAATAATGGTCGTAAAAAAAATGTAGAAAAGGCATCTACGAGTATAATTACAAAAACGTATAATTTATTATCAATTTTGCTTGTCAAATTTACAGAAATATCTGTTATAATATGCTAGAATTGAAAAACTTTAGGTATAGGTTGCGTAAAGATAAGGGCCTTTCCTGGCTTTGGATGCTTTACATACTAAACAATTTTCAACCACCTTTCTAACAGCTCGAGCTATTTTAGGAAACTAATTAAGTTCATAAAACTGATCTAATGTTTGACCGCCACTGCAACTGCTACTATGACTACAACTACAACTACCGTTACGACTAATACTACTATTAATGTCATCATCCAGCTGTTGCGTTATAAACTGAAATTAACTGTATCATTTTCACAGGGCAAGACGAGACTACCTTAGAGAAACTGAAGACTGAAGTTGTTTGTATATGGCTGCGTGATATAAGCCATTCACATTACAAACTGTTCATTTCTTGTTTGCTTCCTCATCCCCCAGAATATGCTAGGATCGGAGGACACTGGTACACTCATAGTACTTTTACTTTTTTTGACATTTAATAAATTTTAAATACTACTAAATCAAGAGTTCAATAAAAAATAGTTACTATTTCAGGGATACCTTATCATCAAGGACAACTCACTTAAAAGATGGCTTGAATCGATTATTTTGTTTGGTTCCTTATGAGGTTATAACGCAGGAAATATGGGACTATGTAATGCCACACTGGATGGAAGCAATTGTCAATGATGTTCCCGAAAAAGAACTGTTCGAATTACGTATTATTTTAAGTAAAATATTGGATACGGAAATGAGTCCTTTAGGCTTCAATGCTAAGAAGATGTATCAGTTCGTTGCATTTCGTTTTCAGAAAACCAGTGCCAAAGTGCAAGAACAAGCGCTACATTGGTTGCAGGTAAGAAAATTTTGAAAAAAAGATTTACTGTACAACTTGTGGCTATTTCAAATAGATCATTTATACTATAAACTCCACACAACCACGGGAATCCTAACATGTTTAGTGTATAGAGACGTCCATTATTTCCAGATGGGGATAGAAAATGATGAAAAAATGACAGGTTTCATTTTATTTAACATATTAACGATTAAAATAAAACACGATTATCAAAATCCGTAAAAAAATAAAATAGCGTAAACTAATTATATATGTAACTAAAAATCTTTTATGTACGTGGAAGAAAAAATGTTAAGCTTTGAGAAATATTTACAGTGATAAATTGCTAGAGTTCGGAAAATAGTCCTCAAGGTTCTTTAAGGAGGTTTATCCGATTTGGAATTGACGAACAAATATTCATTAAAAAAATTAATATAAGCTTATTAGTATGAAGAAAATCCTCAAAAAAAATTATGACTAGGTTGGATACCTAAGAGACGAGATATTAATAAAATAATTTTTCACGATTTAGTACAGAGTCTTATGAGAATGCATATTTTTTTAGTCTTTCCACTTAGAATGCGCAACAATTGACGAACAGTTTCCACCAACTTATCCTCCATATGCGTGATAGCGGCAACGCCGCGGTCTCGACGTAGCGTATTATTTGAAATTCGCAGGTGTCCAAACAAACAGAATGATCGAACGGGAGTGAGCGAACGCCGAGCCGAGCTCGTCAGCCAAGTGCAACGTTGCCAAATCTAAAGGCTTACTACTTTAGTCACTAACGAATTTACAGAAACTTTCGTTAGACTTTAGATGTACCTCTGTACCCGATAAACCTCCTTAATCTTATGGGCTCCTGAAATACTTGAAATAGTAGTTACAAGTTCCTCTTCTCCAATATCAGTTTCCATTTGATCACTGATTGTATTAATACAATCAATAATAGACATTTGGATTTTCAGTATTAAATCATGGCCAATTTTATAGAACATGTTCCTATATCTAAATTAGTGATATTAAAATATGGAAATAAAAATGCTAACCATATTACATCATCTATGTTGCATTCACATAGATTAGGTCCACGTCTTAGAAAACAGATATTTTAATGCTCAGTAATGAACATCCTATAATTTAGGTTTTGTCAATTCAAAAGTGGGGTAAAAAGATACAAATGTTCACAAGTTATAAATTTAGCAGTCAGACTTGATATTAGTTGTATGGACAAATTTTACATTGTACATGGTGCATAAAAAAGAGATTTTAACAACTTTAACAACAAAATCTTTGGATGCATACATATGACAATTTGTATTTATTTATTTAAGAAGTATTGTTTTTTATGTTCTACGCAATGCATAAAAAGAGATTTTAATGCCAAATAATGGTTGTTATATTTTCATCCAAATTCCCTCATTTAACGAATAATAAGCTGAAATTGTTTATGTCTATCGCAGTCACAATAATCATTTGTGTACTTGTCTTGTGTACATTACTAGAAAAATAGTTCGAATGTGCAAACTCCTCACGTTCTTCGAAGAATAAATAAAAAAAAATCAAAAAAATAAGAAATACATATAAAATATGTTATGTAAACTTTTTATTTTCTATCAATTTTGAATATATTTTAATTTTAGACGCTAACACTTCTAGAAATAATCATTCCACTCCATCTTTTGTTTTCCATTTTTGAAGAAGGTGTTTCTTACATGAAAGATGGCGCGGTAGAAAGCAATGGCGAGGCAATAAAATCTACGGATCTAGAGATACCAGGGACTGCAGATCAACAAAAAAGGGGGTCAATTTGTAAGTTGTCTAATTTAAGCCATTCTCCATCAATCTGACAAATTAGAACATTCCCGAAGACAGGTTTGACTATATGATTTTTTTAATTGAACTAAGTTGTCAGTTTCTTGGGAATGGCCTTACTAGAGTAGAATTGAGGACTCTACACAGATTCCCATTCCGATTTTGCTCTTGTAGCACCTCTTATTGAAGATGACGATTCAGGCAAGACATCATTTTCAGATGAGGAAAATCGGTTATCGCAGCATGCCGAGTTCAAAACAGATGCTGAACACAACCTTTCTTGTTGCATTTTAATGTTGGACATCCTACTAAAACAGATGGAACTGCAGGATATAGACAAACACACTGGCTTAAACTCCTCCTTATGCAAAGACGTTTGCTGGCTGCTTAAGTGTATGATAACAGCCGCTTGGATTGGAAACCATTTCTGCACGTCTAAATCTGAATGCACTTACTGTGAATCGAGCATCATGTGGCACCAACTGTCGCTGCAACTTATAAAGTACCTGTTGTCGATCTATCCGGCTCACCCACCGGACGTAAGTTCAATCGAGCTTTCGCAACTCATCAATAAATGTGACAAAAAGAGGATAAACAAATCAGTTTCCATATGCAACCGAACAATCGCATAATTTTGTCATAAAATTGCAGATCTGTTCGCATAAAATGAATTTTTTATGATATACTGCAGCTGATGATGTGGATATTGTTTAGCAAGTCACAAATGAAGATCCTAACTGACATTTTTAATTCAAATGGACAAAAATTAATCATGTATGTTTGAAACGAACAGGCCGAAAAAATATTTTTTCTACTATTGCATGTAATATATGTATTATCTTTAAGTATGTCGTAAAGAACGTAAAATCTAATTTATCACAGTGTCACTCAATTCGAAGACATAGACTTTGAAAATATACCATTATTCAAAAAATTATGAAAACTTTTTCCTAGACTAATTCAAAGAATGTATTTAAAAAATCAAGACGTCGATTTGGGCAGATTTTGGAGCTCTGCGGTTCTTTCTGATGAATTTTTGTGTGTATTTCTTCATATCTGGAAAATTAAAGTTTTGCAAAAAAATGCCACTAAAAAATGAAAGTTTTTATTTGGACCTAGAAAATTATTAAAATATTTCACATATTGAAATAATATACATGATTAATTTACCATAGTAACATTTCTTACTTTTTTAAACCAACATATCGTTTATTAGTAATTTTTAATCCCCCCTGGTTGATTGACAGGTAAATCAGACATTTCCTTGATAGAATAGACAATTTCATAATTCAGCTTTTCTTTCTATTATTACAAAATGTTGTAATTTATTAGAAATGGAGAGAAAATAGGAAAATCGAAAGGGAAGCTAATTGAATAATATTCTGTACAATATTGCAGGCGATATCGGGAGTATAATAAAAACAAAATATTGTCCTTCGATTGTTTCTAATTTGTCATTTTTTATTTCAAATTACAGCCGCCGTTAGAGGAAAATTGGGAAGACGTACATAGTAGAAAGAGCCCGCCTGAAAGCGAAAAAAAAGAAGCCAAAACGGACGTTGTTTTAAATATGCCAATACCGGAAGTACACTCAGTAGGAGGAGTTTTAGTACACATGCCACACGTGTGTTCTGTACGAGGAGTATTTAAACTCAAACCAAGAAATTGGCTTGAGTTAAACAGGGTTCTCACCAAATTACAAAAAAAAAGTAAAGTAGTTTCATTCAAACCCTCCACGTTCAAGCAATCACAAGGGCATATCTACTAATCTACACCCTTTTTCTGACAAGACAGGGTATATACAGCTTACACAAATTAAGCAATTTTATTACCCGCTTATTTACATAATTTTAACTAATAAGTGTCTACTTTCTCATTAAAAATGCATAATTCATGATAAACGCACCTTTTCAATGACAACGATCCAGAAATTTATTACCTACATGCGTATGCCCATGCTGTCAATTTGCTGATTCTTCCCTCAGGTCGAGGAATTTTTTGAGTAAAAATGTCAAAATTGCACATTTTCGTTCTAAAATGCATGTCAATTGTAAATATAATCCACTTATACAATAAATAAATATAGCATTGTATGAAATTCTTGAGTTTGGAGTAGCTTTGGCAACAATGCATCTAATATTCATGTGAATAAGATAAAAAAAATACAATATTTTTACTAGCGACAAATTTAAACACTTACTTTTCACTATTTCAACTTTTTTTATGTTTTTCAACCTAATTATATATTTAAACAAAAAATATCCTAAAGATAATATAATTCACTGGAAAGGCCCATTTTAAATGATTTTACAATGTTTTGGATCACCCTGAAACAAGCATATGTTGATATAAATTTGGGGTATCCAGTTTGGTGAGAACCCTGTATATCAAACAATTTTGTTAATTTGAAGGTAATTTCAAGCAATAATTTTAGATCATGACAGCTACTGTAGAAACGGTTTCCGAACAGCTAGATTTGGCAGCTATAATTCCAGCAGAAAAAGTGGTTTCCGCAGTAGCCAGAGCTATCACCTTATCCGAATCTGATGTCGGTAAGCAATAATATACAAAGTAATCAGGAAAAAAATGTGTGAATGATTCATTTCACTCTTAAAATTAATGGTACCAGAGCTTTTTTGAGAATTAAACATTAACAGTCGCACAGTAATTAATATCTTGAGGAATAAAAGTTGCCATTGTTACATTTTGGCAACATGATCTCGATAAGGGACTTCATAATATTTCTCTAGGTGAACAAATTTAAAATATGCACGGGTTTTGAAAAAATTACCCCGTAATTATGGAAGATATTAATAAAAAAAAAATAACTGAAGTTATGTAACTCCATAAGTATTGTGTTTTCGAAAAGTATCATAGGAACTTATACCACTTACTTTTATGTTCATAGTTTCTGGACACGTATTTTGTAGTCAGTTCTGTTATACGAAATAATTTTTAGCTACGGCTACTGCACTAATAGCTAAGCCTCAAGTGATCGGAGAGAACGACGAACCTATTGAAACCAATATAGCTGATGATATAGACAATTTTTGGCAAACTTCCGTAGGAAAGTTTAAATTTTCCGTTGACGATCTGCCGCAACCCTTGCAGTATATTCACCAGTTATTGCAAGAACTGTCCAAAGTCGACAAACCTGATATTTTGTATTATATGCTGCAATGTTTGAATGTCTTGATTTTGCACGGAGATGCTTGCACTAAGGCATCCAAGGAACACAGGGGATTCTTTATTTGGTGTCAAGAGAATTTACTGATAAAAAAGTAAGTATATTTATATTTTTCAGTTCCTAGATTTCAAAGTATTCAAAGTAGGTACGAACGTCTTCTTGTGGTGCATACATCTCGCAGCAACCTTTTGATAAAATCACAAGCACATGTAATGGCTAGCAATTTTAATGCAATTTGTAGCGAATGTGATATTCATGCCGACAGTCTTTACAAAGTTAAACATTGTGTCATTACTTCTTTAAATCTGTAGATTTACTGCTGTTATGTTTTTTTAAGCATATCGGCATCTATTAATACTTTAATCCTGCTTTTGTATTTTTGTATTTGTATTTTTTATGATTTTTTTTATTTTCAATGTATATCTTTCGTTTTTCATGCGTTTCCTGTAACTGGGTGTATGTATACCTGTCGGAAATAAATGTCATTATTATTATTATTATTAATATTATTAATACTATTAATATTATTAATATTATTAATATTATTATTACTATTACTATTACTATTACTATTACTATTACTATTACTATTACTATTACTATTACTATCACTATCACTATCATTATCATTATCATTATCATTATCATTATTATTATTATTTACAACTACCTCTTTCTATGTTTGCTTATTGTATGTACATAGTTTCATTTCTCAATGTATCAGTTTCCAGCTTAGTCGTTTCCTTTTGTGTCATATGCGTCCAAGTGGAAAAACATATTATTTTCACATTTTAGTTATTACAGTGTGTTTTAAAAAATGGAATCGTATACAAGTGTTAGTGGCCAATCTGTTAATAACCAGGGTTTACACACTGGTGCGAGATACATAGTGTACATAAATTAATAATTTACACAGTAGTAGAAAACACTGTTTTATTGTTGGGAAATGTATGTCATACATTTTCAGTCTATGGGAGCTGTGCAATTCGGAACACTCACACATATGCCAAACAGTAGTGCCGTTGCTTTTGCACTGTATAACACTACCGGCAGGTTCCGATGTTTTTTGGAGGGTTATACAAGAAGCATTCCACTGCCCTGATTGGTGTGTTAGATTCACAGCCGTGGAAAGAGTCACGGTTATAACGAGATTCATGGATTCTAGCCCGCTGAGAAACGTCCAGCCTTTGCAAGCTGCTTTGGCTAATGCTTTTTGTTACTTAATTTCTAGTATGGATGACAATAATGTGTACGTAGCTCAAAGAGCTACCCTCTATCTGGGCACAATTCATGATTCAGCGATTCAGGTAAGAAGTTATGAGTGTTTTTGGAAACTGGTCAGCAAAACGTTTATTTTCAGTCTTTAATTATGTGTTTAGAGACGCAGTTTGACTGCGTTATTGTAGACCGCCCGATGGTGTTGCAGTCTCTGTACCAGCTACACAATTCCCTGAGTGAAAGAAAAATTTTGAATTGGGACTTTTTTCTTAACAGATTTGATACTTTATTTATCGAGGCACAAATTAGTTTGGAAAAGTCAGGAGACATTACTTATCTAAGAGGTATACTTTTCCAAAACAATAAATTTTCCTAGTTTTATAGTCACCACGGCATTATGTTTTAAAGTTTTAAAACAGACAGAATATTTGTTTATATAACTTTTTATTATAGATTTAAGGAACTCAGACATAAATAGTGAATCATTAATAAGAAAGGTGCACAGAGCACATGAAGCTTTATCTCAGTCTGATGGAAGTGCTGCTAGTTCTGTAAAAACTCTTAGTGCAAGTTTTGGAACCAAATGGCCTTATAAACGTACAATGTCAGCCCCTGCGTCTATCGTAACTCGCCATGAAAGTAAAGGTAATTTTTATTTTCAGCAAATTGGGGTACCGAGTAGTTGTAATTAAAATTATGATACATACGATGTATACAGGGTGATCCCGAGGTAATGGGCTAAAATTCATGGGTAGATTCCCCAAGTAAAAATATTGCGATTTAGCCGAACTTACCTTAGTCCAAAAGTTGATAGTTAAAGAGATACAGGGTGTTAAATGTAAAATATTATTTCAGTTTTCTTTAATTTATTCCTTAACAAATGCAAATATCGTCCCAAAATTTTGAGGATTGGGGTTCTTTGAGTAGAGGAATTGAAATCTGTTCACATTTTGGTTAAAGTTCATAGAGGGCGCAAGCTGCAGTAGATTGAATGTGTTAAAAATGACATAACTAAATCTGTTCACATTTTGGTTAAAGTTCAAGGAGGGCGCTAGCTGCAGTAGATTGAATGTGTTANCGTTGAGTAGAGGAATTGAAATCTGTTCACATTTTGGTTAAAGTTCATAGAGGGCGCAAGCTGCAGTAGATTGAATGTGTTAAAAATGACATAACTAAATCTGTTCACATTTTGGTTAAAGTTCAAGGAGGGCGCTAGCTGCAGTAGATTGAATGTGTTAAAAATGACATAACTTTTTTGTACTTTAAGGTATCTGTATTTTATTAACAAATTCTTATTTTTCAACTTTTTTAACACAAAAAAGGTATACTTTATTAAAGTAGCTATCTCGCACCGTTTTCGAGATATTTGGCTTTGAAACTTCCAATGCTGTTGCATTAAATTACAATTAAGTACCTACAGGTATTATTAATTTAGCGGTAAAGTTTCTTAAGTAGGATTTGGACGAAAATCAAATAATTGACGTCTTCCACTTGTCTTATTGCTGTCATTTGAATGCTAATTTCTATTAAGTATTATTCGTATCTAATTAAAATTAGATCTTAGCATACACATTAAATTGTATACTTGTATATATAAATGTGAGATAGAATGCTTTGTTTTTGGAGTTACATGAAATCAGTTGTTTATGGAGAAACTATAAACACATGAGAAGAACTTTAGTAGCAGGTTTTAAATGCTGCAAAGTCATTTCGCATTAAGGATTTATACTATAAAATAAGACAGTCTTTTAATAAACGTGTTGATAAATGTATTGAAGTTAGAGGTGGACATTTTGAGCAATTATTGTCAAAAAGGCATATTTTTTAGTTTTACTGTTCATTACAATTTTTAATTCTAAATAAATCCTTGTTTTTGACATTTCTAAATTATTTTAATTATTTCAATTATTAGCATTGGAAGTTTCAAAGCCAAATATCTCGGAAACGGTGCGAGACTCATAAAGTCCACCTTTTTTGTGTAAAAAAAGTTGGAAAATAAGAATTTAATACCAAAGATACCTTGAAGTACAAAAAAGTTATGTTGTTTCCAACATCTTCAATCTACGGCAGCTGGCGCCCTCTATGAACTATAACCAAAATGTGAACAAATTTCAATTCCACTATCCAAAGAACCCCAAACCCCAAAATTTTGTGTAGATATTTGCATTTATTAAGAAATAAATGGAAATAAACTAAAATAATATTTTACATTTAACACTCTGTATCTCTTTAACTATCAACTTTTGTACTAAGGTAAGTTCGGTTAAATCGCAATATTTTTGCTTCGGGAATCTACCCATGAATTTTGGTCTATTACCTCGGGACCACCCTGTACAGAAAAGTATTTTTGTTTTACTCGGAAACCTCCAATGCTTCGATATTTCCATTATTGCCAACATTTTAAAACAGTTTTTCCAGAAACGAAGGAAAAAGTTTACAGCCGTCAGTATTCAGCACCGATTCTAAAGAGGAAAAGTTCACGATTCGGACTGGGTCAGTTTTTAGGCACTAGTAACAGCATTCCAGGTAGAAACTAGTTGTAGTGTCTTGCTGTAGTGGCCGCATGAATGTACGTAAGTTTTATAATGCTTTATTTCATTGAAAGCATTGCATGTATCAATAACAAACAAAAGTTACATAAATTAGAATTATATAATCGAAATTTTGTTATAAAATATGAATCCTACAAATTCAAAAGACAAAATGTAATACACGGCATCATCGTTATTATTGCAGATGGCCATATGCACTCGCTTAATGTAGTAGAGGACCAAAACTTAACAACATTTCTTCAGAGAGTGATCGACCTTGAAGAAGCTGACAAAGAAACGATGCATTTATTAGTATTTCTGCTCATGCAATTCCTCTCGAGATCCGACCAAGCATTTCCGGCGGAAGAAAAACATTTAGCCAAAACTCAAGGAATTGTTCTCCGACACCTATACCTTCTTTTAGGCTACAGTCAGAACGATAGAGGCTTATACTTGCCACCCCAGAGGCTGAGGTCATCGCCCGCTTTTAGTGTTTTTCTTTCAAATTTACCACAACTGATGGACCAAAATCATCTGATGGGGCGGCTATTGCTTCCGACGTGTTTGATTTTGCTTCAATATGCGCCTTCTCCCTATTATATTCCAAATGCTATGGAGTTCCAACAACCAACTTACAGTTTATGGTCACTTGAACCACACTTTAGGAAAAACTGGCTCATGTCTTTAGTAGTATTACTATACAAGGTAATCAACTTTTTGAAAGAAAAAAAATTTTTTATAACGTGTCCCAAATTTAGTATACCAACGTTGCTATATTATTATAAATAATAGAGAAAAGTATTATTTTCAGTACCAGTACAACCAACAACCACACTGTATGCAGCTTACTTCGCTTATAAGAATCGTTTTGAACACTCTGGACTCGCAACATCATCACTGCAGGAGAATCCCAGCAACTATCATAATGGGTGCCTTGCCTTCTAGATCCAGAGGTAAATTATATTTTAACCACCAACTCATTACCACCCACAGGGTGTTTTTAAATGAAGTAGCAAAAATGGTACCAGTAAATGTAGAGCCAAAAATAAGAGGATTGAAGTAAAAATACCTTATATGAAAGTTGCACTCCTGAGGCGATATACCCTCTTAAAGCAGGGGATTGAAATTCACATTTTAATTTTTTTCTTTAACATGAGGAATGCTAGAGACACGAAATTTGGTCTGAGCCTCCTATTAGTAAAGAGACAACTTTTCAATATTTGTTCGATCATTGGCGTATTTTATAAAGGAGTGAAACAGTCAACCCCATTGCAATATTTTATTAGAAATTTTTTATATGAGGCAAATTATTTATTGGAAAAACTGATTTATTGCGCAACTTTTTTACCTCTTGTAATTTTTCGATGAAACCGATAGTTTTCTAGTAAAAAAATTTGATGCGTCATCGTTCACTAAAGAGGTGATTGCGAAAATTTGTAAAAATAAAGTAGGCGGATGTCATAACAAATAAATTGTTATTTATCATATTAATAAATTGACACTTTCTGTCAATAAGCTGGAAATTTAATAATAACATTAAGAATAATTTGCTATTAATTAATGAAAAATGTTTGATAACTTATGACTATGGGACATGTGTTAGGTAAAGTTATTTATCTGAAATAAAATTTCATACAAACGAAAAAAATAAAAAACTATTTTTTTTTATATTTTTATGAAATTTTGTGACTTGTTTACTATTTTAAAATGTTTTAAATTTACAACATCACTGTTGGTATTCACTTTCAAACTTACATAAGAAAAACACCAACAGGATGTGATAAAGGGCTAAATTTGAAGTCACTAAGTGACGTCACATAAAACTATGAGATTTTATAATTTAGATGGCTATGAAAATTTATTTTCAGATGTAAGCCAGCCGTCTCTGGGTGCGGAAATTGACCATCCGGAGCGAAATACCCCACCTCTCTCGCCGATGTACTCATCAGATGGACAATCTATTCAAGTTTCGGTGAGTTCAAAAGGAGGCAAAATCCAAGTAGCTTACGTCAAACCTTCCTCGACTACAAGCATGGAGACTCACTGGGAAGAAGCCATACAGTGCGTTCACCCAGAGAAGAAAACCAAACGGTTTACAGACCTTAGCATCGATGATGATACGGAATCTGAATTGATAGCTATACCAGAAAGTGACATGTCTGACAGTACGCTTCAAGGCAGCGTTCAAGACTCGTTCGATGAGGGAATTAGTGATACGTGTTGCCCTATGCCTGAAAAACAACTTGCTATAGTTAAATCTCCGAAAGATACATATTATAGTCAAATTGTGAAAATTACTTCCAACAAAGGTAGGCCTACTTGGATTATAGGCAGTGAGGATGAGTCTGTCAAGTCTTGTGACAACCGGATCCTTCAAGAAACTTCCAAATCTCATTTTGAATTTAACAAACACTGTACAAGATTAAATTCTACAGCCTCGATCAACGGGGCACAGCTAGCTAAAACCGTTACTACAGATTTCCACAAACATGTTACTTCAACTTTGGTAGACACGCATCATATGGGCAAACCGACTCCTTTAGGAAAACATAAAAAAATTATCGAACCTAGTATCACACCTGTTTGCACACCGGTATCTGACTGTGATGACTGTTTCAAGAACAATCAACATATTCTACCTACTCCTTCCCTAGAAAGGCTCTTGCCCATAGGATCTTCTAGATTACCAGGTTAATTTTCAATTTTCTAATTATTTTTATTATTATTAGCTGTCACAGTTTCACTTTACTTTAAAGGTATCCAGTAAATTCTAAATGAAGCTATTCATTAATAATTTATCTAAAATACAAATAATAAATAAGTTTACAAAGTCATACGATTTAAAAGGAAAACTAATAAAAAATAGCGCAAACTATAGTCATATGAAGTAAAAATTCATATTGTAAATAAATATATAAAGAAAATACANTATTTTATTTCATTATTTCTCCATGTGTTAGTCAATTCGAGCAGGTGCTGTGTGTTTGTATTCATTTTAATATTTATGAAGTTTATGTTGATTTGGTGTAAATTGGTTAGTTTTCGTAGTACTTAATATTCAAGCAAATATTTTTTATTAGTTTCAGAATTTATATTTATTTTTTCGTTTTTGTTTTTTATATTTGGAATGAAAATATTTACCTAAATAGTTTCTTAATTTTATTTCGCTACTATATTATATATAAACATAAGCTAATTAATTAAAAAATAATAAATATCAAGAATTGATATATATCGCGTATATATCCGATATTTGATATTTATATAAAATATCATGATATTTGCCAACCTTGCTTTTGACAAATCAATATGAACTTAAAAAAAAACACATACAGTAGTTATGAAAATATTACACTTTAAGTGAAGAAACATTTTTAATTTTATTAAAAAAATTAATATGTTTTTTATAAACACTGTTTTAATTTTATTTTTAAATTTCATTAATGGTAAGTTATTATTTTACTTTTATTGCAATATACTCCAATTTTGTTTGTTTTTTGTTAGTTCCATTTGGATAAATTTATTTTTGATATTATTAATGACTAGCTCCTCTATGGATCTAGATATTTAGTATCAGAAAACATAACCTAATGCAAAAAATTAAAGGGTCAAATGAATTTCCGAAATTTTTCCGTGATTTTTGACAGACTGTATTTAGGTGAAAAACGGTCGTATCGAGAATTAAAAAAAATCATTTTGAAGCTCTAAGATTCTAGTTGTTATATCTTTCGGTCGAAATTTTTTAGGAGCTACTGTTTCATGCAATTGTAAGAAATAGTGTGACAAAAAAATTTTGCAAATTTTCTTTTTCTCAAAAATATTTTTTTTATTTTTCATCAATTTTTGCGGTAAAAATGTTAGAAAACCTCAAAAAATTTATTTTTTCCATTTTAATTATGATTATGAAGTGTTTAAGCTCAAAAAACGTGACCCTTTATTTTTTTTCAAAAGTTAGACTGTTTGAAACAAAAAAACAGTTCGCTAGATCGACATGAAACTTTACAGGCTTCTTCTGGGCATATCGAACTGTAAAAGTCATGCTTAACATTAGTCATTTCGTGAATATCTCTAATTTAGCCGTCAATTTTCTAAAAAATCATAAATTGACCTTTTTTCCTGTTTTTTAAAATTCGTATAAAAGATGAAAAAAATTTTTTTTTCTGAAAAATTGCGTCAGCATGTTATAGGAAATTTATTCCAGTTTTCGAAACTGCCCTTCAATTCTCTGTACCACCATTTGTCGCCGAGATATCGATGATTAAAGACAAAAGGATCCTTTTCCATTAAAAGTCCGATATTTCAATGAAAGATGGTCGTATCGAAATTTCAAAAAAAAGGGAATTGAAATTGAATAAACAATCTATTAGGCTCATGCAATGGCTTAGCTGAAAAAAAAATTTTTAAGTCCGTGGACTCAAAAAAAAAAAAAAACTTGCAAAATTTTTTTGTCGCGCTATTTCTTAGAATTGCATGATAACTTAGCTCCTAAAAAATTTCAACCCAAAGATCTAAAAACCAGAATCAGAGCTTCAAAATGCTTTTTTTTTAATTCCTGATATGACCATTTTTCACCTAAATACAGTCTGCCAAAAATCACGGAACCCTTTCATTTTTTGCATTAGTGTATATGACCACATTTGACGAGAATTTCAAAGACATTGATAGAAATCATTTGAATTAGCTTAATTCCTTTAAGGTATTACTTTTCAATTGTTAGTTAATTTCTTTTCCATTAACATAACTATCCATTACAGATTCTCCTCTTACAGATGACGTATTTTCTCCAATGTTAGAATCACAATTAGAAATTCCAAGCCAAGAAAGGCTTCTCCCCATTGGTCAACACACGAAAGATATATCTCAGTTAGTCGATAAGGTACGACAAGCATTGGGAATCAATGCTCAGCTGATTAAAACGGACAACAAAAAAATTGATAAATATGTGTCTTCAGAACAACCGCAACCAACTTCGTCTCAATATCACAGCCCTAGAAGACTTATAAAGCAAGTTGCTTTGGAAAGTCCGCCAAATCAGTTTGAACCTGAAGATAACGGACACTTCTTCAAAACTATCAAAATGGAAAACCAAAGTAAGCATACACGCCAGGGTTGGTTGATTGGATCCTGAACAAAATTTAGTATTACATCTAATTTACTTGTATAGTAATTACCAGATTTTTTTAGTACAAATGTGAAATACTTAACAGAAAAATATGGAAAATATATTTTTTAAAAAGAATAAATAGATACATTGATAAACATTAAATTATGCATTAATCACAACCCCAATTTTAACTTCTTAATAAAGAAAATCCCAAACGATTGAAAATTTAGTTTAAACACGATTTAAAAAAAAATTATATATTTTTTTCCAGAAGATTTGATAGTAAATCACAGGCAAAGAATGAGGAAAGCAGGGCCATTTGCAATGAACTCATATTCCTCTCATGACCCCAGAAAACCAGGAGCTTGGTATAGCCCAGAAATGTCTCCAAAGTTAGAAGGGAGTGATATGAAGCAAAGTTCTTTCAGAATTGGTGACGACTGTGTAAACGAGAGATGTTCTGAATGCGGTATGGTGAAAGAAGAATATAGTGATGAAGAAATCGGACTCTGTATTGTTACATTAGGCACGTTTATTCATCGAGAACCAGCTTTAGCGGCACCGCTACTGCCGGATATTTTAAGTATAGTTTCCAAGTAAGCAGCTTTTTATTGCTTGTAAAAGTTATTTTTATGTGACATTATTTTTTGTAGGGTAGCAACGAATGCAATGTATCCTTGGCAAAGTGAAAGCAATATACATTTACCAGGTGGAGCAATAAGTGTTGCACATCAATTTTTACGGTGTGTTTTGCATCAACTTGCGCCTAATGGAATTTTCACTCAAATGTTTCAAACCAACGCACCAGGTATTTTTTAAAAGAGAACTTTAATATCCTGCTATTCATTCCTTATATAACATTTTCAAAAAATGCAAATCCTAAGCATGTTATCACTCTTTTAAATGTCAATTTTTGAAAAATTGTACTAACAATTGTTTTATCTGAAATCTAATAATTATATTATTTTATACCCCGCTTGACCGTGATTTCTTTCTAATTATTAAAAATTAAATATGCAAGAAAAAGTGACAATTGATCGGGTTTGTTTAAAAAAATATTGTAGGAACGTTTTAAGTTTTCTAATACCTATTTGCGAACACAATTGGCCATCAAGGTAACATTTTTTTTTTTTAATGTTTTTTTACAATTATAGTGACAGGTTGATGGGTCCACCTCTGACTGTAAGGAACATATGCCATAACAGTGTTGCTACAAGCAAAATGTGTTAGAAAACAATTATTACTTTCTCGGCAATCTATTTTTTATTTAACGATCTTTTGTAGATCTATATCTCCTTTATAGTAGGGATAGATAAAAAAAACCATATGTTAATCCAATGCCTTTTATTTTTTTGAGATTTTATAGTTTTGTTATATCTTTAATAAAATAGAAAGTGACTCTTATGGTGGAACACCTTGTATACTATTTTCTTTGTTTTAGAAAATATAAGAATCCAGTTTTTTAAAAGCGTCATTCAAGCATTAATAGATTTCAACGAATTAAATCCTGTAGCACCAATTCAACTTTTGTTAGAGGTAAATATGTTTTTTTAATAAATTTTATCTATAATTTAATGTTTTTTAATGTTTTTTAAGACTTTAAACTCAAAGAAGACACTTCCGGTGGACATTTTACCTACGATTTTACAAAATATGTCTTGTTATTTAAATTGTTTGCCGTTAGAAGCACCATTTGGCCCCAGTACGCCAATTTGGAGTACAGTTTTGCAACAGTTGGAGATTTTATACAGAAAAATGATATTTTTGTTAAATGCGATGGATGACATCACGCCACTTCTTAAAATAATTTCATCGGTATTTAAAATACCGTTAATATCTCAGTTCAAGGTAGTTGTTATTTTAACATAGAGAAAAGTGTTTTAATTTCTCAATTTTCAGGGACTGTTAGAGCCTTTTTCTAAAGTTCTGAGTTACGCTATACAAACACAGGTTTTGAAGTACAGCTATCTTGTAGAAATCTGTTATTTATGCAATAGGGCTTTTACAAAGGTTGGAATAATTGAAAGTTTGAAAACATGTATTTTTTTTTTACTTCTAGGAAAGAGACAAGTTGATACTCAGTAGAATGGTAGTCTTTGAGTTAGTTCAAGCTCTTAAATTTAAAACAACAATACCAGATTCCAATTTGCTTATGTTGATAAATTTAATTTTACAGGTAATAGCATTCGTTGTAAACAATATTTTTATATAATTTTCTATTTATATTAAAAATTTAAATACTATAAGAAAAAACAAATTATCGTCTTGAATATATTTTTTTTAATTCTTGTATTTTATTTTCTAGGACATAGGTGGCGCAATCCCATCAAATGTTGTAATAAAAGACTGTCAATCGATATCTTTAGAATATGGTCCTACCTTCACGACGGGCATATCAGAATGTATGAAACTAAATCTAGGTGATATTTTAGAATTTTTGACTGATTTTCACGCAATATCCAAAATGAAGGTAAATATTATTCAATATACCAGAGTGATATAGGAGGAGTAAGTCTCATAAATATATCACACAATTTTTACAAGTTCTTGATTTGATAAAATAGTCTTGAGTATTCCCTGCATGGAATTGTAATGTGCTGATCACTTAGAATGTTCTATTGTAACAAGCGCCTATTTTTATCTTTGCTTATCATGTACAAAAGGAGAGACGACCAGTGCTGTATATTTTAATTTCCCAATACACCAGTTTCCAGCTTCGACATTCAGTGTCAAATGGGAAAAAAGTCTCATTATTTTCACACTTTAGTTATTTCATGTGTTTTTTAAATAGAATTCTGTGCAAGTGTTAGTGTTCTATTGTTACGATTGCCCATTTTTATATTTGCTTATTGTCCATAAAAAGAGAGACAACCAATGCCACATACGTTTATTTCTCCATGTTATCAGTTTTCAGCTTAGATATTTTCGGGGGTATTTATGTCACATGCGTGTAAGTAGAAAAAATGTGTTATTTTTACATTTTAGTTCTTGCAGTGTATTTTTAAAATTGGAATCGTGTGTGTGTGTGTGTGTTAATAACCAGGGTAGTCGTAAACAAATGTATTTAACAGATGAAGAATGTTGTATGATAAATTTTTATCATCGAATTCGAATGTGAAATGTCGGTGAATGATGACATGGAAATACCGTCTATCAGAAGAGTTTATTTTGCATTAAAAAATATAAAAGCAAAACACATGGCAGGAAAATATAAAAATACCTAGACTTACCTTAGAAATACCTTCAAAGTGTTTTACTGTGTATTATGCATCAAACAAACTTTCGTTTGTACAACTACAACCTGAATTCGCTTGAACTAATCTACCCCGAAATAAAAATTTATGTATCATGAAATAACAACACTTTTCATTTATAAGATGTAAAAGTACTTCTACAGGAGGTGATTTATCAGGTAATTATAAAGACATGGAATAAGCGCTTTAAGGATGTATGAAAGAAACAATGGATGTGGGACCTCGATACAGAGTTAATGTTATAATAGAACCACTTAGGCGACAGCAGTGATAGCATTAATGACAGTGATAGTATCAAGGGACAACAGTAATTATTGATTTTACTAATATTTGTAACCCTCATTTCTAGTGTCTTATCGGAGGTGCATCTGATTTTTCTTTGGTGTTTGTACTTTTAGTGCTTTTACTGATTTTGTCATCTTATTGTTAGAAAACTATGACTACATTTCATAATAAAAAAAAGAGAAAAAGTGTACAGGGGTGGTAGAAAGCCTTCTTTGCTACACGGGAATAATTGCAGAATACATACTATAGTATAAATAAAAAAGTACCTATAAATTGGTTATTGGGAGATAACAAGGCGAGTGTAGAATTGTTAGGATAATCTACTTTTAGTAGCACAGATCTACTTCAGAATGAGTCACTGCCTATAATTTTGGGATTGTAGTATATATATGCAGCTGTATCATATTTTTTAGAGTTATTGTAAAGGTATAAACGTAGGATTAAACGACGATACGTTAGGAGGAATTATTAAATGTAACGTTGCTCAATACCTAGCTCTGGAAATTACGAAAGGAAATGGGAGAGATAATCGAGCAGTAACTAGGTATTTTCCTTGGTTATATACTACTTCAATAACACAACAAAGGTATATATCATTAACATGAGTTTTTATCAAAACTATTGAATTTATCATTTCAGTCCGAGAGAATTTGTTGAATGCATTGGACATATACGATTGCTATCGTGGCTTTTACTGGGTTCTCTAACGCATACAGCATTACAAGGTACCAATAACGGTCAAGTTGTAAGCCAACCTATCCCTCAAGAAGCCTCCTGTCAGATCGCTGATCATATCCACGTTATTATGGCTGGATTTGCCGAACAACCAAAGGCATCGGTTTTGCATATGTCGTCACTATTTCATACTTTTATCCTATGCCAGGTAAAACTATTACAATAAATGAAAACAAAAAAAGTAATATAATTACTTTTTAGCTCTGGACAGTGTATTTGGAACAAGGTCTAAATGGCCACATTCCAATCACGGAAGCTTACAACATAACGATGAATATTTTGTTTGACTTTTGGGGAAAAGTAACGCCCTGTATCTTGCAGCTTATTCAACAGTCGAAAATGGTAAGTAATCGTACGTGTCATTATGAAACTATAAAAAGTGTTTTTAACCTCTTCCAGTTGAGTGAAATTGTTAGCTTGCATTTTTTAAGTATGTTAGAAGCCTTGCTAGAATGCCAGTCCACTTTCGTTGGCAAATTACTGCCACTTTGGACACCCGTTTTATGCTCAAATCAAATTCAGGTATATCAAGAACAATAATTGTACTGTGATCTAACATTATAATGATTTCAGCTTCCAGGACATCTACAGGTGCGTTTACAAAACTGTCGGAACTTCCCACCAACGACTTTCCCAGAAGCTGTTCCCGAGAAGATACGGTTAGGAAATTTACATAACCCCATGTTATTAAAATGGCTGCAAAGGTTGCAATTTAAAATGGGCCAAATCGAACTGCAATCGTCAACAGCTACTCAGTTTTATTCATTATGAAATATTTCCGTTAATTTTTTCTATAACAATTACTACATCATAAACATATTTTATAAACGACTGTTGTAATAATAAATTATATAGAAAAGTTGTATGCTATTTAATTTGAAGGTGTTTTTGAAATATAGTACACATAACCTAACATTTCTTAACGAATATTTGTTTTGTAGTTGCCCTGTTACAGTAAATAGATAATTTATCAGTTTTTAAAGAAAAGTACTTACAGTATGCAGGTAATACAAAAAGGCAGCAAACAGTTTTCCATTGCACAAATTTAGCACAAATAATCACGATATAAAAGTTGTTTTGTCAGCAATGTCTTAGCTGCGCTTGAACTCACAGATATTATTAATATTTGCAATAAAACAATTAAAAACTATTCCATAAATTACCCCAAAAGAGGGAAAATTTAAACTCCCTCAAATTTAATAATTAATTTTACAAAGCGTTTCGCGTCTCACTCTACGCACCACGCGATTGCAACAACCAATCAGAAAACGTTGCATTGGAGCCACAGATGTAGAAATAAAAGATGGATGAGACATGCATTGTACATATGCATAAGGGACGTGAGAGTCCACCATGTTGGGTCCATATTTTACATTTCTATTGGTATACTTTAGAGCAGCCGTTGGCAACAGCGGTCCAGGTCTGGACCGCGGAAGGTAAAATACTGGACTGCCAAAAAATTTTTTAAAGTATAAAATGCCAGCCTTATCATTTTTTTTAATACTTTACAATTATGTGACTGATTTGAGTTCTTAATGGTTAGTAAGCAGATTAAGTTTGAGTCCAAATTAAAATAAAAAATTAGTAATATGAATTCTTTTCTGGACTTCATTAAAAATTTTCAAAAGTATCTGGACTACACCTAAAATTATTAGGATTATAATTTAAAACACCCAAAATAACGAAAACTCTCAGAGACAAAATATCAAATAATCTGTACAATGTGGCTCTACCACGGCTCACGTTTATGGTTTTAGTAAAAAGAACTTTTAAATTAGTCAACGGTATTTTGAGATTTATTATGCTATTTTAATTTTATTCCTCGTTTTTCAAAAGTTTGTGTACTGTGTCTATTGTAATTTTGAGAAACTGAAAATAAAAAATAAGAAAAACTAATACATCCAACAGTAAAAAAAAAATTTATTGGGTCCCAACAAACATCTATAACAATAATAAATATTCCAAGTATTCGAAATTTTACAATGAACAAATTTCAGAGAACCATTTTTTGCTATTTAAGCAGCTGACATTGACACAGTGAGGACAACGATTCAAAAATTTCTTCGAAACTGGTATCTTGTTCCTTAAATGAGTTAACACAATATCTGAAAGCGCCTCTATGAACAGTGGGTGGTCATTGGGTGTTGGTACTCGCAAAATGATTTCTACTCCCACCTGAAAAATTAAAATAACAGACTCATCAATGATTTTTTAATACAACCTACAAGATCATAATATACCGTCCCTATTTCACATAATTTACGATTTTCTAGTAAATTTCTGTGGAGGGGTTTAAGTGAAAAGTGTAGTAAAACAATACCTCCTCAGCCAGTTCCTTGCAGTATTCAATATCAAGTTCGTGTAGGGTTTCGATATGTTCATTTACAAAAGCGATGGGAACAATAACCAAAACCTTTTTCCCTTGTTTAACGTAGGCTTTAATAGCCTCATCGGTCATAGGTCCCAACCAAGCCAATGGACCAACTTTGGACTGCCAGACCAGTTGGTAGGGGTGAGAGAAATTAAGTTCTTGCATTACTTGGTGAACTGTGGCACCTACCTCTGAGGGATACGCATCGCCACGATTGACAGCCTGTAAAATGGCATATAAATTATTAAATTAAAAATTACAAAAAATTTAAACTAAAATATATTTATTTATTTGAGAAGTAGGTATGTAACAGGTAAAACTCAAATAGTGGATATAGAGGTTGTAATACCTATTTAAATTAATACATAAAAAGTTAATAAAACAAGGTTCTAAATTAAAACATAAACTTTCTGTGCACTTCAGATTAAAAAAGTTTTAACCCTTTCACCACTAAAGGGCATATATGTCCCACGGCATTTTAGGTTTCAAAAATACGGTAAATTTTTTTTTTTAAATACGTTTTTTTGTATAACTATAATACTTTTATAGACCCTCAGAACAAGTTTATTCAATATTATCTTTTTAGCATGCCACATTTTAAATTTTAATAATAATTTTTTTTAATAAATTTTGAGGTTAACTAAGACTGGTGTTAATAAGGTGGACTGTTGTGTACGCGCGAATATATACCTAGTACTAGCAGCACGGTTGGGACAGTTTGAATAGGGATTTATAATGCATTGGTATGCTTGCAGTGTTTTTTAAAATTTCCTTGGGACATATATAACCCAATAGTATTTTTAAAGCAGAAAAAATTATATTGTACCCGTAGCGAAAGGGTTAAAACATAGGATTTGTAAAAAGCACATTATATATAAAAAAAGAAACAAAGTAGACATGAACTTTCAATGGATAGGTCATTACTTTCACCATATGGCCAAAAATAAAGGCATTTTGCGATTCCTTTTAAATGATTTGCATATTTTATTTTTATTTTTGATTTTGTTTTGTGTCCACATCAAAACGGAAATTTGTTGGTTCCAATTCTGCATGCAAATTCCAGAGCAATAGTTACAATTTCACAAAATACTGTTAAAAATGTCGAATTTCGTGCCAATGTTAATTATTATTAATTTTCACAAAAAAACAGATATAATTCTTTGTTTTTTTTTCTCAACATCTTGATATATATAAAGGATAGAAAACACAACAAAGCAAACAAAATAATATATATATATACATTACCTTTAAAGGTAAAGAATGTGCCGAAAATAAAATTATAGCTTTATTTCGTTTGTCTTCAGGGATTTGTTGTAATGTTTTCCTAATAAGATCTGCAAAACACTTTGCCAAAAGTGGATGGGTAGGCCATCTATCGATGATACTCAGTTTGAATCCATTTGGAATAGTTCTATAAATGATGTCTTGTTTATTTTTACGTTAAAAAAAATTGTAAATATTAAAAAAATTTACATAGTAGAACTTATAGACTTTTTCGTTGGTGTACTTTACCTGTTCTTTAAAAATTTATAAATTTCATTGAAGCTGGACCCTGACGTGGCACAACTAAACTGAGGATACTGAGAAAACAGTATTGCCCGTTCTATTCCATCTCTAAAAGTTTAGCAAAATTCAATTTGATGCAGTAAAACTTGAAAGTCTGAACCAAATGTAATAAAAAAACGTACTTTTGTAGCTTTATAAAGGCATCTTCAGTGAAAGGTGGAACATATCTGAAAGCAACATACGGCTTGTGTGGAGCTGTCTGCGGAGATATTTTGTCTAATTTTTCACATAAAAGTTTGCCTTGCAACTTTGTCCATTTAAGAATGGGTGAACCTCCTCCTATTTCTTCATACTTTTTTTGAACTGCTGGTGTTCTTCGTTTTGCTATCCAAGGGCCCAATATGCTAAAAATGTTATACTCAAACGGAAAAGAAACTACTTCATATGAATTAATGCATTAGGACTTACTTACTCTTGTGCTATTGGCAGCTGTATCATATCTCTGTCAGTCATAATTTTATACAAATAATCATGAACTTGCTCAATTCGCTCTGGACCTCCCATGTTAAGTAGGACAATTCCTGTTTTTGCATTCATGTTTGACGAAAAACTTTGTAACCTCAAAAACTCTTTTCCTAAAATATTTTTGGTAAATGTACAAATATTTTTAATAGAAATATACAAATACCTAAATGCAAAAATTTTTGTTTACTAATCATGACTAACGAATTTTGTTTATCTATACAACACAAAATTTCCAGTACAGATTATAAACCGTTAACATAAATTATCCTAAATTATCAGATTGTCAGTAACACTAACAAAACACAGTAGTACAATGCTTTTTAATTTATGTTGCCTATTGGTTTCGTAATTTTTAACATTGGAAGAGGTTATGATTGAAAGATGAAAGTAATGAAACACAAAACAGAGAAAAGAAAGGGTAATGAAAGTACCGATACCGATACCACTGTATAGCCGATACCGATACCAATACTGCACACAACTTTACTAGACTAGAGTCATATTATATGAGTATAAAAAAAAACTAAATATTTATTTATTTAGTCATATGACTAGTGTCTGTACGGACGGGACAGCTAAACATTTTCGTTTTTGCATAACAGAAAAATTTAATCTAATCTAACATGTTCAATTTTTTTTATAAAGAATTTTTTTAATAATCAAGAAAAACGCGCATACATGGGGCTTGGCTGTGGTGTAGGATACATAGGGATATACACGGTGTCTCATAATTAGTGTCCAATAATTTACCACTTGATTCTATTGCCAAAAACTATTTTTTTTCATATATATGAGACACCCTGTATATAATAATATAGACATTAAGTCCACACATAAGAAATCTTTTCCTTGATGGAAAACAAAAAATCAATATAGAAATCTATAACGAAACATCTAAAAACTGAAACTAGCAGTGTACTGTGGCGCCCTCTGTTTGATATGTAAAACGATTTCCTGATTTTAAAATTCACTCTTCAAACACCTAAAAAATAACTCGACCATTTTATTTTTTATTTTAAAAGGATTATAACTAAAAACTGTTGCTTAAATATAAAATTTTTATTTTATATATTTAATGTTTATATAGGTAGAGCCACAATTTAAAGTTTTGGAATACCAGAACTTTAAACACTTCCTACATATTTGTGATTGGATGTTCCCTTGTACGCGTAGGCACGTGTGTCTATTATTATTTTTTGAAAACTTAACTACGAATAAAAAATAATACAATGGAATCTTCGAGTTGTGGTGAGTTTTGAATAATTCTAAAGTTGACAAAATAGTATCTAACGATTTTATATTTTGATTGAAGTATGTACGTGGTAGAGTAATTTAAATTATTGCAGTTAAGATGATGCTGTTTACAAAGAAAAAGTGTTTGATTTGTTGCGAGGAAGAGGATGAGTTTAATTTAGGGGTTTTACACGATCTGCAAGTCTTTTCAGTTCACTATTTATGCTTAGTAAGTATTTCTGTTACATTCTTAAATACTGTTTTAATGTTTATTTCATGTTTTGTAGTTAACAGGAATGAATTCATATCCCAGTACAAATAATGGAGGACTGTTAGGATTCCTTCTTGATGACATATACAGGTTGTATAAAACATATACAAATATAATATGTGAGTACTGCAAAAAAAGTGGCGGTTCTCTTGAATGCTGCTTTTGCAAAAAAAAGTATCACTTGCCATGTGGTATAAAAAACGGAGTACGAATTGGAATGGTGGGAACATATCCTAGCTATTGTAAGGATTGCGCTTATGAAACTTTTCCCAAATCTAATGATTTAAGAAAATTTACATGTGCTATATGTTATTCTTCAGCTGAGAAGGGGGATGATATACTCTACTGGCCTAAATGTTGCAAACCTGAACAAATGATACATTTTGACTGCCTTAAGGTGAATAAAAATGAATTTAAAATGACTCTTCTTTCTTTGTTATTTCCTTTGTCATATTTTTTTATTACTTCTGTATTTGATTTATTCTTAACTTTTAGCTGTACGCTCTGTCTGCTGGCTACTTAATGAGGTGCCCCTTGTGTATGAACAAAGCTAAATTCCGATTGAGCGTTAGAAAATTCGGTGTTTACATCCCCAATTCTGATGCAGACTGGTTGATAGAAAAACCAGATAAATTCATATCTTACCCCTTACGTTGCTGTGCAAACATTTGTATAATGGACTCATCCTACAGGAAAATGAGCACAGTTTTAACACCATGTATTATTTGTGACTGGAAAATAGCTCATATGGAGTGCACATTTTCTGCCATATTTTTGTGTGTAGACTGTACAAAGAAGCTGTGGCCAGATATTGGCAAAACTAATTTGAAAAGCAATGAAATAGCAAATTTAAGTGACACTTTTCCTTGGTTCTCCCGGTTAGTCGGGATGATAAAATATGGCAAAACTCTAGGAAGAATTTTGAATAAAATAGTTAAATCGTTGGGGGAAAAAATTCACAGTCATGAAACCGGTGTGTTAATTTTTTTGGTATTCAAAAAACAAATCTAATAATTTTTATCTTTCAGTTTACTGGCACGACATTCTAGACATCCAGAGTAGTAATTTAATTGCGACTATGATTATAGGTAAAAAATTAATACACTTTATTGCTCTTCATACACTATACAGTTCTCATTTTCAGAATGTTATGAAGACTCTGTCTCAAAAAACTTTACAGGTATGTGTAAACTCAAATGCTAAAATTGAATTTTCAAGGTATTTAAATGGTGCAATCTGATGCAAAAATATTTTTAATAACTCGGATAACATTCAGTGTACATGCACTTTTGTAACTTAAGTATTAAAATACAAGGCATATCCACAAAGTAGGAGTACCAAGATTGATGCTCTGTGGTTTTTGTTGTGTTGTGGAACTGTTGTTGTAGTGGCATGTTGAAATGAGTGCCGCTTTTCCCAGTCTCGCCAGTTGCGAGGTGAGGAGCGTAATCCAGTTTCTTCTTTTTATGACGAAAAGACAATCAATGTGTGACTATCATCGAAAAATTCAAAACCATTGTTTTGGCCCGAAAAATCATATAATTCCCTTTTTGCCCCAGAGTGAAACAATTAATGCTGCACGGTACTGTGAAAATACTACGGAGGGCGACAAAACAGACAAAAGAAGGGGAATGTTAATGAAGGGACTGTGCTTGTCCCCACACAACCAAAGTCACAAAGTAATTCTTGGATTCATTCGGTTGGAATATCATCAACCATCCCGCTCACAGCCCTGACCTAGAGCCTTCTGATTTTCGTCTTTTCTCTTTGAAGATGTTCATGGGTGGAAAAAGGTTTTCTACTGACGATGAAACAATGGGCCCGAGAGGGGGTGGGAAATTTTTTTGATGACGGTATCAGAAAGCTTATTCCTCGGGTCAGAAAGTGCATTGAAGTTGAAGGCAACTGCGCTAAAAATAGTGTTTGGTGAAAATTTTTCATAAATATACTGCCGTTTCCATTTTCAAAAAATTGAATACTCTTACTTTGTAGATATGCCTCGTAGTTAGATTTTCAGAGTATTTAAATGATGCAATTTGAGTGCAAAATATTTTATTAACTTAACTTTCAGTGTACAAGCACTTTTGTAACTTAAGTTAAAATACTCAAATAATTAATGATAAAAATGCATCTGTAATTCAAAAGTAATAATAATAAACCAAGTCAAATATTCCAGTGTTAGAGTAGTTTCAAAATTTCATGAGCCGTGAAATGCGTGAAAGGCGTGGCGTATCCGCATAATTCTTCTAATAAGCACGTTGTGAAAACATTTACTCATAATTAGACCACATGCCTTATTACAACCAGAAACGAACTAAGGCGCTCGCGCATCAATAAAGTCAACTGGCGAACGTTCGTTTTATATATTTTTTTATTGCTTAAATTAAAATAAAGAATAGGGCATTTTATTATGATATTTGTAATTTTGTAATCGCATCAAAGGCTTGTTATGCTACGAGAGCTCGAGATAGACTGTGAATAATAGATGTAATGTTTTTAGGATGTAGAATAATTTAGGCGATGGTCGGAATTATGTTTCTGCGCATATGAAGGTCAAAGCTCATCAGATTTTGAAACAACTCTAAAATACTTGAATAACTTGAATTAAAATCTTTTATCTCAAATGTGAAAACATTCAAGTAACTTCATCACCTCGTACACTCGCGTGTAGTGGCATACTCATATATAGACCCCCCCCAAAGAGTGGGGAGGGCCTCACTTAGTCATCTGAAATTTTAATTAAAATTAAGTTCCTCATTCTATTGGATATTTAACTGGAAAACTGCCTTGCATGTACAATTATTTGGGTTTACAATTATTCATTTTTTATTTTAGGAGAGCCAAGTTCAAAAAAGGTGAAACGTTGACATCTGTTGACGTTGACCTTATTAATTTAAAATAGCCTGTGTTTTTATTATTTTTGTTAAGATGTTCAGAATTTTTATTTCTTTTTTAATGTTATATTTGATGTTAATATATATGGAAAAGTTATTTTCATTAATGTTCTCGATTAACTATCTAATAATATTAAACAAAACCTATTTTTTTGTAAGAATATTAAATAATAAAGACTGCAATGAGTAATCTATGGCTCATTTATGACGTCCTTATTCCTCATTTCTTCAAAATATAGCTCCGCTTTTCCATACCAGTTGATTTGAACTAGTTTTGTACCATTTAATAAATTGGAATGCAATTCTATTTTATAGGATCCCACTGGAATAGTTTTTGGAAAGTATTTCGGATTAGGCCAAAAGTTCCTTATATACAGAGGTCCCTTAAAAAAGATTACGGTTAATTCTAATAGTTTTAACAGTTTTAAATTGAGGACTTAAACGGTAGAAATTGGTCACCGTTAAACAAATTCTAAACAATAAATGAAGAAATTACTTTAATTTCAATAAATTTTTTGAATACCTTTTTAATGTCACACAGCTGTATGTTCCCGCAAGGTTCCATAATATCACGTATTCCATAAAGGTTTTTCATCCACATTTCACAGACATTTACTTTCAGCTGTATGCCAGTGAATTTGTATCTGTTGTTTAAGTATAAAAAAGCTTTTGTTGTTGACTGCAATAAAATATATTTTTTGAACTACAAATAGGTACTTTTCAACTTAATCAATTTAACACACTGTATAGTATGTAAATTCCTGACATGTTAGAATAAATGCACCGTATAATGTTTATTCAAGTCTGTTCCTTACCACGATTTCTCGCCCATCCAAGTCTTCTAACAAGACAAGGGAAGCATTTAGTACATTGGCTGTTCTGTTATATTTACCAACGGAAAATATTGGAGCAGGCTTATCTGCAACTAGATGTTTAGCATAGTAAGCAAGTCTCAGTCTTTCGAATATAGCTTGGTAGTCTTCCTAAAAATTTAATCACAATCTATGACAATTTGTTTTTTGGTAGACCTCACTAAAAATGCAATTTTGCGAATTCAAAATTTTTCAATTTTTTTAATTGTTCAGCTGCAATAACACTTTTCCATTCTACAAAATGCAAGACTTCTACCATCAAATTTCATCTTTACAACCATTTTCTTAATAGTTTTTATCTTTACCATTTTTGGAACTGGTTTTTTTATTTTACTTGTTTTGTGTACTTTAGGGTTTAAAATTTTTACAATTTGTTTCCATTTCCAATAATTTTCATATATTGACTGCCATAGTCATTTTGAACTATTTACGTTAATGAAAGAAAATGCATTAAACATGCTTTTTATTTTAATTCATTATATATACAGGGTGGGTGAGGAGGGAATGTCAATATATTAGGTACGTATTCAGGGATCCAAAATAAATATAAAAGTTCCTATAAACATGGGTCCTATTCTCAGCTGTTACATGGATTGGTCGAGGTGTTCGCATAATTGGCCAGCTAGATCGCCAAGCCTTCCTCCTCTGGATTATTGTCTTGGGGGGTGGTTTAAATCATTGTTATTTTCAAGTAAAGTAAACACTAGAGATGCATTACCCGATCGAATAATTAATGCAGCAGCAACTATAAGAAACAGACCTGCATCATGTTTATTTTGAATTTTGGGTCCTTGAATACATACCTAAAATATTTACACTTCCTCCTGAATCACTCTGTATAATTAAATTTTATATTCTAATAGCTATACAGCAGCCAAAACCGTAGTAATAAGACAATTTCTGATAAAATTTCTCACTTACTGGATCAGCTTGTGTTACATAAACGTAACCAAATATAAACCACAATAACAGCATGACTTTTAATAAAATGATGTCATTATTTTGGTGTTCTTTATATACAATTTTGGTGCATAATTAAATCGCTATTAATGATAAAGTTTTTATTATATTTGTAACGGTCATTGCCAGGTCATGCTTTGTTCAGAATATATTCTCTATAATTTTGGAACTCTACAACATTAATGATTTTTTAAATGTTGATCTACAAATTAAAGGAAGGAATTTAGGAATATTTTCACTATAGATATTTATACTGATATACAGAGTGTTATAATGCAAATATTAATTTTTTTGTTGCTGTATTTGTTTAGTTTTGGTTTGTAGCTGGTTTTTTAAACCATTGGGTCGAAGAGTATTTAAACACAAACAAATATTGCAATATATTTAAAAAATAATAATATATAATTATAGATATTTATCGAATCTAAATATGACTGAATATTTTGAAACAAAGAATAAACTATGTTGCATGAATATTTATTATCATATAGAACGTTATTTTGTCCTTAGGCGGTAACAAGTTGCAATGTGACAATTTGTGTCACCCTTAGGCTGAATGGCTATTACCATTCTCCCATCATTTTCTTTGAATGTTAGAAACGTAACATTGCCTTCTTGACTTAACATCATCGACCCTGGTGGGGCATTTGTAATTTGCCGAGCGATATTTAAATAATCATCAGGAGAAACATCGAGATTATTTATTACAAAATCATCCTTATGTTTTATGTAATGGTATGTGGCAGCAACATCGCTTCTAAAGTTTGGTTCACCCGTTGCGTTTGCTTGCGCGATGTTAGTTTTAATTTTGTTAAACTGGGTAGACATTTCGCTTAGTTTATTACCATTGGTCTTAAATTCTTTGTAAACTAAGTTTTCAAAATGATCCTTAACTTTTCCTGAAAATTTTTCATATCCACTAGGGTTTTGTTTGTAATCGCTTATGTAACGATTCTTTTCATCGTTCATATATTTCACGGTGTACTCCAAATAATTACAAAACTCGCTCACGTTTTGACAATTTTCTTTTTTCGCAAAATCTATAGCAATGTCGATGATTTCAGATTTGTAATTTTTAGCTGTGTTTTCCATCACTCCGTTTAACCTATCGATGACATGAGCCGGCATGTCTTTGAATATTTTCACACCATTCATTTCAATATTGTCCAGATTTGGTGCATCGAAGTGTGCAGCTAATTTAGCAATGGTATTTTCCCTTACTGCTTCACTATGGAGGCGATATTTTGAACAAACTCTGGCCAAGTTCGTCTTGAAACCTTCTAAATCAATTTCTCCGTTTTGGAATTTCTTAGTGTTACTCATAATATCAGTAACTGAATCTGCATCGATCTGACTTAATTTTTCAGGATGAATGCGCCACTCATCCATCATGTTAATAAGGCCTCTATCGAGCATTATATCACCACTTTCAAAATTATGCAGTTTCTCCACATCCACCAAAGAGTTAATAAAATCTTCTTTGTCTTGAACGTAGTTGAGTTCTTTAATGATTTTAGCGCTATTATGCATTTTTCTTTCCCCTTGCATCTTCGAGATGATATTATCGAAATCTTTTTTTTGGTCTTCAGTGCTAAGATATTCCTTATAAGAATCAATGTGATCTTGTTGAAACTTTTTAATAATGGTGCTGGCCGTTTGGAAATTCATAGCGCTGTGTGTGAAGAATACGCAAGAGGCGGTGAACTGATAAATATCAAGTGGTGTTAGCGTGTCGTTCATTCCTTTATCAATAATATTTGATAAAGAGTTTATGATGCCTAAGCCACTAGTAGTGAGACAAGCCACATTAACAACGGAGAATGTGATTCTTGCTGCTTTACTCATGATTTCACCGGCTTCTGCTGTAGTTTTCATGCGAGCTATCATGCCAAACTGGGTAAAGAACAGCGGGGTACTGACGATGGTCAACCAACAGTTTCTGGACTCGGCGTTATCAAATCCAATGCTTTGTTTATGCATGTAACGATCGACAAGAGCAGAAGAGGATCGGATAAGACCATAACCACTGGAAACCAGCCCAGTACCAACCGCTCCTGCCATTACTGGTCCGGCAATTGGCACGGCGCAGATAGCCGCTAAGCCGATCGCGGAGGCTCCAATTCCAGCGGCTGTAGCGGCATAATCGAGAACACCAATCGTTCTACTTGAAACGTAGCAAGCGCAAGACCGATCTTTGATGCAATCAACGTTTTCATTGTCTTTAAGTTGATAAATCCCGTCTCTCGGATACAAAATTAAACATGCCGGCAGAGTGTTATTAGCAAGATAGTCATCCCAAGTTTCATAAACACGACAGTTGTGATCGATGAATGTACAATTGTTCTTTGAGTAGTTATCTTTCGCGTAATTTTTTAAAATTCTGAAGACGGGAAATGTGAACCGCTTGTCATACATTTTACAGGATATGAATATACAAGCAAACCATGTATGACCTCGATTCTCATATTCTTTTCCTTCTTCTAGTATGACGTCGTATATTTTTTGAATTTCGATATCTTCTTCGGGTTTATAGCCAATGTCATAAGGATTTTTTGGATCTGGATTTCTGGTAGGTGGGCCGTATAAGCCATATCCTATTTTTCTGCGCAGTATTACACCTTCGTTTGGTTTTATTCTGTCCCATCTTCTATCTCCTAGCATATGGCAGAAAGCATTTTGTTCCTTGTATGCTGCCTCTTCCCATTCTACTATATCCGCCTCGGACCAATTCACCATTTTGATGGCTTAGCTAAAGTAATAAATTCAGATAAAAATATGAAAACCTGGACAAAAGAATAAATTTACTAAAAAAATGTTATACCAAAAGCCAAAAGAATATATAGGTGGGACAAATTAGGCAGAAAGCTTAAAAATGATCATAATTTACAGGATGTTCTATTCAAACTTAGTAACTTTACTAAATGTTACTACTTACTAAACACTAAACTAACTACTACTAACTAAACTCTTACTTTACTAAATGTTTTCAAGATTATGAACCAGGCTGAAAAGTTATAATTTACCATAATTTAAAGGATGTTCTACTTAAAATAAGTGAGTAAAGATATTCAAATTGATCAAACATTCCCGTATAGTGCATAGAACGCAGATATTCAGAGTTTGATGGTGTAGTGGAACGAAGGAAAAATCAACGGCCATCCGAAAGAAGATAAATGTGCTAATAAAAAATAAAAAAATTATTTAATTAACAGAAGACGAAAATACATCGAAAACCATGAGTCATATATGAAGATCTCGTTACTTCTACAAATTTGCCATTTTTTAGATCTTCATAGATTTTTTGAAGACTAGACGGTGATGGAACAAATCTGACATTGGATTCGGATTCAGAGGGTAACAATACGTCCGAAAACATATGCCGCATGTCAAGATCTCGTCACTTCTCAAATTTCGCCCTTTTTCTGAAGATCTTCAGTGATTTTTTGAAGGCTAGAGGGTTACGGAGTAATTCTGACAACGGATTCGTATCCAGGAAGAAAAATTACGTCGAAAAACATGTGTCACGTGTAAAGATCTCATCACTTCCTAAATTTCTCCATTTTACTGAAGATTTTTACCGATTTTCTGAAAGTATTCAGCGATTTACGGAAGACTGAAGGGTGATGGAGCAAAACAGACTATGAATTCGTGCTCAGGAGACAAAAATACACAGGAAATCATATGCCGCATTTAAAGTTCACATAACTTTTTTTTTTTGTTGGCCGGTGTTATTAACTTACTCCGCATTTCAAGGATTGTGTTTTCAAGTGGCCTCCTATTAAAAATAGAATTAATAGAGACGTGAATATTAAATTATATATAAAATACAAAACATTTAGAGTAAAATCTAAGAAAACAAAGGATTCAGCACTTACATTTTAAAAATATGTGCAGGCAGAAAATCTTTGAACTCCTATCACTGAAATTGTAAACTCATGCCTGTTTGCAGGAATTTTTTCAAGATGTCTTTAAAACAGCAAAAGTTTTGCCATTCCACAATTCTGCTGATAATGCATTACCACTTGATTATCGGCAAATTCATATACGCCCAACATATCCAAAAATCTAGGAACTGCTGTTATACCACAGTTTAAATTGTACGACTTATATAAACTTTTTATATTAACACAAATAAGGTATTACTGCCACTATTAAATTATGGTAATTTGTAACCTTTCAGTAATCTTACATTTTTTAATGCCTTTAAAGTAAAATATTTAATAATGAAAAGTGTACAATTAAAAATATCTATTAAGCTTCTCACCTTTTATGTAATTATTTCTACTGACGCCACCACCAATGCGATTTGGGAATATTCAAAAATTCGTCCGACGATGTGTCTAGGATTGCGTCTACCTCACCGTCTATGTAATTTCTCAAAAAGTTATCCCACTGTGCTAAATCTTCAGTATCAATAAGAGAAGGCAGATAATCACCTAACTTTTCTCCTTTTGAGATGGGAAAATCCTTGTAATCATCTAATAAAAATTGTAAAGATGACCTGTCCGTCCTGGAAATCAAACCGGAATGGCTGTCGTATTCATCAACACGCAGACTTAGGTAGGTTTGCAAATTTGATAGTGAACTATGGACCAAGTTCCCAATAACCGATTTTTCCTCTTGAGTGAATTTATAATCAGACTTACCGATATTGTAAATAGCACCGAAGAATTCTCTTGCTAGTGGACGTATACTTGTATAATCTGTACAACTAGTGATAAGTTTCTGCAATGTTTGGATTAATCTCGAACCCAAAGACATAACTGTAAAATAAATACATAAAATCTGTAACAATAATTTTATAGAGTACTTACTATGAGATAAATAAAAATAACTTACATTTCAATTTACAATTTGATATTTAAAACCACTACTCTTGAATATTCATATTCATATATATGATCAGACGCCAATATAGTCACTCTATTAATAAGTTTTGTGTTAAAGCAGGGATATTGTTTATTATTTTATAATATAATCAAAAGCATGTTGGGATATTTCAATTACCACGAGAAATAATCTGTGCTAAAAATATAAAAGTTTACATTACTCTGATTTTTGAACAAAAATGTGGTAGACACACAGAACAGTGAAATGAAATCGACTTCTATAGAAGATTTAAAATAATATCGAACTAAACAAATTTCTAAACTTTCTTTATTTTTTTTACAATATTTTCAATTTGTTAAGAAACCTGTTTTATCCCCATATTAATGGACAAAAATAAACTTATTTACTTTATCTTGAATTGGCCAAATTAAATTTAATCAATTTGGATGTTTTATCTCGAAAAACAGGAACAACATTTTATCCAACAAGGAAAACATTGTCCTAATTCTTTCGACAGACATAAGTAACAAAAGTGATTGAAAATCTAAATAATTTTTCTATCACATGTCATATTTCAAAAGTTGCTTTTTCCAGTGAAACTAAAATGATTAGATGAGAAAATGGTATAATTTTGCTTCATTAAAAAGCTACAGGTTTTCAAAAAACGCTTCTTTTTAAATTTTTTCAAAATAACAACTTTTTAAAATATTTCATTGAAACGTGTTGCAGGAATTCTAAAGACTTTTGTTATTTGGATGTAATGAGTTATCAGTGAAATTGCGTGTACATTCACATTAATTTTCAATGAAGACAAAACACTACGCAAAATTTTATGCAAACACCATTATCAGTTGCAGACAACCGAGTATTTGGATAAGCTAATTAAACTTCACTTTTTAGGTAAATCTGTAACTATATTAAACTAGCCTCTATTAAGAATCAGTGTTTACTGAGTTTTAAAGAACTATATTTCAATATGTGTTAACTTTCAAATGGAGGTAAGATGTTCTAAATAATCGTAAAAAATTCAGGAAAAACAAAAGACTGTTGAAGGTATACTTATCGATCTCCCATGTTTTAGATACAAAATAAGCCTCTATTCGTGTTCGGCTACACAAAATTTCCTCTACATCGAAAACTAATATATTTTTTTCAAAAGTGCATAATTTTTTAAGGAAACAAGTTGTACTAAATAACTTGATATATGTTGGTGCAAAAGCAAAATACTCAGTGAAATACCTAATTATTCTACTTAAAAACTGTTTAGGGTAGGAATATTGTTAATATTTAATAAAATGAATAATAGTAAATAATAAATAATGATTAATAACAAAGATAAATAAATAATAATATAGCTTTATTTCTAAAATGGTTGAAACTTACAATCTCTTAGAAACGGCAAGGTTTAGCTTACGGCTTATATTTTGCACCCATTAAGGACTTTAAAATACTCATTTCTTTTGTAAAAGGATAGATAGTCTCTTAAATAAATAGGTACAAGTTTTTCCATGTTAATATTTGAAGATTTTTAATTTTACAGAACTGAGAAAAAATAAAGCTTACCACATTCACCGAGTATTGACAAACGACTCAACTGTTCTGTGAAACCAGACTGCAGTTTATTATTTTATATAAACTTATCAAAGTGTGGGCTACTGATAAGACAGGATAGTGATATTAAATATGTTTACAATAGATTAGTGGTATTCAAACTGTTCCGCGGAACCCTGGGGTTCCCAACAACCTCTCTGGGGGTTCCACGACAGTCAAAAATTCAAAATTCTGACATTAACAATTTTTATACTACAAAATTCAAAAAAATTTATACTCTTACTTAAAACTAGTACATATTTATAAATATATTATATTAGTAAAAAAATGTGTTCGAAAATTTTTTTAGGTGTTCCTTAAAAAAATGAAAATGTTGGTCGGGTTCCGCAAGTTGTAAAAGTTTGAAGACCGCTGCAATAGATAATTAACTTCTAACATATTTTGAACTGAAAATCACCTGTGAAAAGTGGGTGTTCTCTTGACAATGGCATTTCCTTTTTACTAAATTTTTGAAAATTCAACATGGTTTTTACGTTGACGAATTTTCTAAAAAATGATTTATTTTTTAAATTTAAGGAGAATAAGCTACTATTTACAAAAAAATCAGCAGAAACGTTTATTTTTCTGTAATTTATACACATCAATATGAATTTGAAAAGTAGCACCTTGTACTTGAGCACCCTCTACTAGAACTGAACCAAATAAAAATGAATGGAGCGTCACCCTTCCTAATCTTCATAAAATTTTGTCTACCCCCCTATTTTCGATGGTGCTCAACACGAATCTGAAGTTATTTTTGTGCGGTCAAACCCAATTTTCGAGAAAAAAAAAATTTCAAAATTCTAACTGGATCATTTCACACAACACTATGTACAATACTGTATACTTTACGTAACTCTCAGAACATCTGTTATGAACAATTAACATTGTTTACGAAACACATTTTTGCAAATTTCAAGTAAAAAAAATATGTAGGTATTTAATAAATAAAAAATTTGTTGCTAAACCTACATATAGTCACTTTACTAATACGTTTTGCATTAAAATAACGGAATTATTTATTATTTTATAATATAAACAAAAGTATGCTGGGATGCTTCGATGACCACATGAAAAATAAATAATTTGTAACTGTTTCTTTTACTTTGATTTTTTAATAAAGATGCAGTAAATAGACATAGCAGTGAAATGGAACCGGTTTTTATTAGATGAAATAAATACATACAACTTTTTCAAAATTTGTTTACAATATTTAACAATTTTTTATGGATAATTTAGTTTTTTCCCTATTTAAACAAAAATAAACTTACTTATCTTATCTTTGAAGTGGCTATATTAAATTTAAAAAACCTGAAAGTACACCTGTTAAGAAATGGGACTTTTAAAATAAAACTGTTGAATTATTTATCTGCTATTATTTATTTAATAATCACTTTATTTATCATATGGCACTGTCTTTCACAGAAGAAAGTCTATATCCAACTAAAACTAACTATAGGAATCGCAGTTAGAAAAGGAATTTTTAACTTGTCAAGTGTATCATGCTCTAATTTTTTCAGCAGACATAAGTAGTAAAAATGGAAATGAGTCCTTATATTTTATTTAATAAAATTGATGTATTTAATCCATGGGCGTCATATGAGAATAAACCCATTTAGTTTAAGTTAGCTCAGTACAATTATTTTGCTTATTTTGAGTTATGATCTTTCAAAAAACATTTTGTTTTTTGTTTTACTAGGTGTTGCGGGTGTATTCCAATGCAGGTCAGGACATGTAGCCTGCAGAGTAGTTGTATCTCACAATACAGTCAGTTTGAAATATTCTGTTCCTCCAGTTGGCGACAGAGGTCATGCTGATAGTGTCACTTTCTACCGGTGTGGCCATATTAAATGGGCTAGACGGGAAGTAGCAGCGGCCACGCACAGATGCAGCCTCCATCTGCTCCTTATTTATACATACCTCGATGTTTCGAGTAAGGACATTAGAGCAGCTAGATTGTTCATCGGTTGTACTGTCTATCACATACCGATAAGACCAAAGCTGGTCTGTCTGGTGGGTTCGACTGACGAATGATCCTACCTGTCACTAGGTATTAGGGATGTAATCAAATGCTGGAACGGGCAAGTAGCCTGCAGAATGTCGTCAGTTTGATATATGTTTTTTAACCATACATAAGAAAGTTATAAAGTATGGTCAAATATATAGTAAATGCTTGATTTCTATTTAATTACATTTTTTACTGTGTGACAACTTAGTTGATTGAATTGTTGCTATTTTAAGAGATTATTTGAGTTATTTGATAAATATATTAATTGAGAAATTAACACATAAATTCAAACTTGTATATTTAAGGTATTTTTAACTTTTTTCTGTAATAAATCCTTGTATAACAGTAGATATCAGTATAGGTATTATTTTAAAAATAAACAGATTATTATGTCAAATAAATTTCCACAACGACTGTTTTAGTATTTAATATGTCTGATAATTTGTTTGATTAATAGAGATCATATCTATAATCAGAAAAATGCTCAATGACAGTACAATAAACTACGTGCAAATATTCACGTTTATGATAATATATATGATATGGTGATTTTATGATTGTTTCTAATTTTAACTGTATTTTCAGATATTCAATATGTATCTTTATAATTTCTTAATTGTTAGTACTATTTATTAATGGAGGAAAATTACAAACTATTAATAAAGACTTTTGAAGGGCAGTGAAATTTATTACACGAAAAAAAAGTTACTTGACCCTACCGAGCAAATTACTTCGAAATTTGATAAACTCTGAAAGTTAACAATTTACAAGATTATGAAGTGAGTTTATAAGCAAAATTATTTAAAAATTTTCACATAACGTAATTACAAATATGTTTATTAAAATTCCACATAAAAAACAACTAATATTTTAATAAAACTGTATATATTGTGTCCCAAAATTATAATACTTGGATTTTATCAGTTTTCCAAGTTGCGTTTAAGCCAAGAGTAACCATACCTAGAAAGATACCACAGTGAACAAAAATTTGGTATTTTTGGTAAGGGCAGAAGCAGAATTGGAAGTAAATATATGGCAAAAGCTGTGGTTTCAAGCGGAAGTACTTTCAGTCAAAGTATTAATCTTGATACTGAGATTGAAAGAAAGACATTATTAAATGGTTGACTATGACGGTCGGTTAAATAAGAATAATTCAACAAAATGGGCAAGGTTTTGTGAAACGATCATTTCACAGGTGGCCAAACAATTAGTGGTATTAATTTGAAATTATTTAAAATACTGTGTGATAGGAAAACAGAGATGCAATCATTGCAATCATATCCTGCACGATATGAAACATTGATTGAACAAGATAGGCAACTAAAAATACATCTAGATATTATACAGGGTGGGGCGTGGAAACTTCCTATCCTGAAAATGCAATAAAACACGTTTCATTCAACTTTATCGTTATTTTCCGCCTACCACATAACATTGGAAATTTGAATTTACACACTCTGTTAAATGTCGCCCTCCATTGTCAATACACTGATTCCGTCGACTTCGAAAACTTTGCGTCACCTTTTCAAGCACCCTTCCAGGGTGTTGGGACGACCTTTGTACACTAGGGACTTGAGATAACCTCACAGGAAATAATCAGGAGGGGCTAAATCAGGCAAGCGCGCAGGCCAAAACACCCATGGAAACCCTGGAGGTGTGGGCTGTGGCCCCATCTTGTTGAAACCACACGTCAAGATCCATTTCTTGGAGAGCAGGTAAGAAGAATTGCTGGATCATTGCCACATAACGGTCTGAATTGACAGTAACAGCACGACCACGTCATTCGGCAAGGTGTCAAGGAGCTGTTCACATGATGTTTGTCGGGTTACATAATACTGCTCTGTGAAAATGGAGCTCATAGTGAAGAATTCGACGAAGAGAACGGAACGACATCCCAAGGGCAACTGCATGTTTACGCGCAGAACGCCTTGGGTGACAGCAGAATAGACACACAAACTCTTTCCACATTTTCAGGTGCTCTAACGGTCTTCGGAGCTCCTTTCCTTTCTTTGGAGACACTCCCCGTTTCTCTAAAGGCATCCACACACATTAAAACACATTTCCGATCAGGAACACGACCTCCCATAGGAATATCGAAGTGACGACGAAAGGCACGTTGCACTGCAATCACTGACCGACCGTTAGAGAAATACGCCTCCACGGCAAAAGCGCATTACTGCTTCGACCAAAGCATGTTTGTGACTGAGACGGGCGGGAATACAAATATCCCACTTCGTCCCTTCCACTGAACCCTTCCCCCTCTCCTAGAACTTCACTGCAACATGTTCAAAACAGGAAGTTTCCACGCTCACCCTGTACATACATGCAGGCTTTTCTCCCAAATAGACCTAAACTATGCCTTTATTGGATGAAGCCTACAATCCAAGTATAATAGGTAAATATTTATACTTTCATCAAATTTGTCCTTTTAAAATAGGATTTAAGGAGCTCGGTATGAATGACTAGTTGAATAGATTTTTAATCCATAAGTAGAGACCATTGGTAGTTTTTTTGTCATCTAAACATTTTTTTTTTTTTTCAGAAGACGAAACGGTAACAACTTTTTAAAATGGGTGAAACAAAGTGATGTGTTTTTTGTACTATATTTTGTATTTGTCTGCTTTATTCAGTGAGATTTTTTGGTTAGGCAAAACTATTTACAAAAAAATAACCCTTGACTGATCCAAGAGGTTTGTTTCACTAATTTTAAAATTTTTTCAGTGTGCAAAATACACAAAAATTAATGAAATAAATTTAATTTTTTATATGAAATAGGAAGAAAAGTGTAAAATAAACTTGAAAAATATCTATGGCCTCCTAATAAATTATTACTTCTCTCGTGGATAGCGGTTCTCAAAATGTACATATAAAGAGATAGATTTAAAAATATTTGTAATTTTGTAAATTTTCTCTGGACCTATTTACATCGCGAATTATACCTGCAACTAAAATAAATGTACATATTTAAGGTTCATCCTTTATACCAAAGATACTAAAAATGCAAATTTGTGTAAGAACAAAATATTTAAATAAGATATTTTTTTTTAAATACAGTAATTTCTCACCAGTTTAAGAATATTTATAAAAACCCTATAATTTTACAGAGTGAACAGCCTCAATAAATGCTTTTACAGCCTCCAAGGGCGTATCTGGATAAATCCCATGTCCTAAATTAACGATGTATCTTTCAGTACCATATTCCGCGATCATATTTTTTGCCATTCCGATGATATCTTCTTTCGGGGCATACAACGCACATGGATCTAAATTCCCTTGTAGTGTAATGTTTTTGTTTTTAAGCACGGATCTTACGAATTTTGGTTCTAAAGTCCAATCGATGCCTAAGACGTCATAACCCAAATCCGCTTGTTCCTCTAAGCAAAAGTGAGCCCCTTTGGCAAAGAGCACCTAAAAAAATCATATCCATGTATTTTTAAATCTTATACTAAGCTATACCAGCTATTTATCCCCAAAGTAAAAGTAAATAAATACGGGATGTACAGTATTCATATATCTCAGTAACAGAAAACAAAAAGTTTATTATAATTCTTTATGCTAAGTTTCATAAATATTGTCAACCAATCTCTAAACAATTAGGCATAACGACAATCTTTTCCCACATTTAGGAAAATTTATAGGTGTTTCGGAGCCACTATGACAAACATACTTTTAACATCCATGGGAAGAATAACTTAATAGATTTACATTTTAGAATACATAAAAGTAAAATAATGATATTACTTTTTCATTATCAAATGTCTTTGCACTGCAAAATTAAAAATGTTCCTTCACTTAGACTGTACTTAATATTTTCATAACTCATACATGAGTTATGTCAATATATATTTATAATGTTGTAAACCCAAATTGTATGAATTTTGTAAACTTTATATATTAACACCAATAAAGTTTTACTACAACTATTACTACCACTACTAATCATTTTTATAACCCCTTACCAGTGGAACGTCTTCATGTAGCTCTGCTTGTCTACTCTTCAATTTTTGCGCTATTTTCTTCAGATATGGTAGACAAAACTTTTCATACAGACTTTTATTGAGATATTCCGCACTACTGTCGAAAACCTGAATAAGCTGTGCTCCGGCTTCTATTTGCATGATCAAATAGTCAATAATAACATCCGTCAGTAAAGATAACAACAGATGAGACTTCTCTGGATGCGCGTACAACCATTTTTTAGCCTTGCTAAGTGTTTTCGAGCCACCCCCTTCAATCATATAGCCCATTAGAGTCCACTGAAAGAAATTCATATAGCATAACTTATTAAATTATTTCATTGTTGACATTACTTACAGGTGCTCCTGAGAAACCAAACAAGGGCACTTTTCCTTCCAATTTGTGTCTAGTTAACGTAATAGCTTCGCCTACATATTTCAGTCTCGATAAAGCACTATCTTTCTTTAATTCTTTAATATTTTCCAAGGTAAGGGGTTCTGGTAGAACAGGTCCCTAGAATAACGAAAAAATTAAAGTAAGAGGGGTAATTTAACATTTATTCACATACTACTCCAGCTTTCATTTCGACCGTCATTCCCAGTGCTTGCGGAATCACTAGAATATCACTGAAAATTATCGATGCATCTAAATCATATCTTCTAATAGGCATTAATGTTACCTCACAAGCTAAGGCAGGGTTTTGGCAGATTTCGAAGAAACTATGTTGCTTACGGAACTCCATAAACTCTAAAAAATGTACGTAAATTAAAAATATATATCAAATATATTTTTACCTGGTAAATATCGTCCAGCTTGCCTCATTATCCATATTGGTAGCTTGTCTGGCTTTTCTCCTTTGACAGCTTTTAGAATCCTGTTGTTTTTTAAAACAGGAAAATTGTGTATAGTCATTTTTCGCCTTTTAAAATATTACGAAATGCTAAATAATGTTACAACTAATTATGCTTTGTCATTCCATAACTAAAACACTTAAGGAATGATTATAACTGCAGTGTAAATTTTTGAGATTTTATAGGTTATGTTCATAATCATAATAGCGTCTTTCCATTGTGTAAATAAGAAGGATTCGATTGAGGTCAATAATCAGTTCACTATATTTCAAGCGCATTAAGTCAGTATATTTTTTAACTTTTTTGTAACAATGTTCATTTCATTTTTGGAAAACTAAGAGAATACATATAAAAGTTAAATTCTAATTTTTTTTAAAAATTAAATCATTTTATAATGCACACTATTTAATATATCTACTTGTACCTATATAACTACACAAAAACTTTGATAAATGAAAAAGATCCTAGCAAATATTTTATGAGTATATTCTAACATTTTTGCAGATTTAATTTTTTAATAAGCTTTCTATGAGATTGTAATAAAAATTTAATTATATATTTATATTTATAAAAAGATTGTGGTGTAATTTATGAGAATTAGGTATTTTTTTTTAAATATTAGGAATAAAATGTTTTGTTATATTATATAAAAATGTAACTTTCGTGAATTTTAGTGGTGGTAGTATAGTAGTAGTAGTATTAGTAGTAGTAGTACTAGTTAATAAAGTGTTAGAAGAAATTTACACAAGTTATACAATTTAAAAAATAAGTAAATAAAATATAGAAGATATAGTGTCAATTATAGAAATACCTATAAAACGTAGATGCATATTGTAGACAAATATTATATAGAAAAATTACATTAACAACAATTGATAAATACATAAATATAAGCTTAAAAAAGAAACAAATATAAAATATACTGTTTGAAAACTTATATTTCCTAAATAAGTAGGTATGTACCTAATAAATATAAATATTTTCGCATTTTAATTAAAATTGTGTAACTTTCTACGGATTTTATTTTCATCCAAACGGTGTATGATAAAATTAAAATTCTTTTTAACTTTTCACCTTATGTTTTTTTTTTTAATTATTGTCTAGTCTCCGAAGCTGCGACTGCGCGCTGGTTTCAAAACATAAGGATGCGGCAGAGAGAAACACGTTGTGTGCATTGTTTGTCGAACTTCAGTTCGGCTCGCCACTGTCTGGGGTAGGTAGTGTTTAGTCCGATGTGAAGTTTATGTATACGTTCCTAACCTTAAAAGAGGACGCGAATGTTTCTTTTCGTCGATAATCCCTTTTTCAGCAAGTATGGTGAATAAACTGAAATGGAAGTATAGCAGTTTTGTTTGTTTTGTTACAGTTTTGTACTTTTTTGTTATAAATCGTGCTTATGGACACAAGATATGCAGTCATGTGCACCCTAAACATCATGAGGTTAGTTTACAATCATTTTCACTTTCGTTTGTTTCCATTGTGCCTCTACATACATAAATATTCTATTTTTATGCTTCTTGTTACAAGCGTACACGTTTAATTGATGACTGCTTTGTTTTATAAATCATTTGATCACCAAGCATGTATTTAATTTAAACGTTTTGTTCCGTTCATTCTGTAATATTAAAGCAACAGAAACGAACACAGTATCGTTCCTTTTTTCATAGATGGTACTAAGTTATGAACTTTTTCTTGACATAAGTATAAAGACCAAATTTTATCTACACTCACTGGAAAGATTAGTGACATTGTTTTATTTTTAATAATAATTATACTATTAAATTTGTCCAAACATCAGTTATTCTTTGTGTAAATATTTACTTTTAAAATAGCTTCTGTAAATTGTTTTTGTTGTACAAATACCGAAAAGAGAACAAAATACAGATTAATTGGGAACGATTAATATAAACCAATTACTTATCTCGATTTACTTGTCAGGATTTTAATTTAAAATTTTTAGTAATTTAACTTATTTTGATTAAATAAGTACATATTATCTAGATTTGTAGTAGGTAAATATACCTAGTTGTTTTTTAAAACGAAGAAAATAATATACAAGGTGTTTCAATTTAGGTATAGGTGTACTGGCCACATAGGTAACAAGTAAAAAACAAATGAAATTCAAATATTTTTTATTAAAAGGCCCTAAGGACGTATAGTATATTCAAAATTTTTTTAGGTGCCAATTTTTTTTATCTGAAATTTAAAAATGCCCTGATACTAATTTCTATAAAAATTATCCACTTTTAATGTGTACAAACAAGTATACAAATTTAAAAATATTTTATTTTAATTTTTATTCACGTTTGCACTTTTGCATAAAAATTTACATTTTTCTTCTACAATTAATGAAAAAGGAAGCTAGTAGATAAATGAAAAAAAAGTACATAAAAGTAGCAGGATTTTCACTTTAGAGGAGGTTAAGGTTCCAAATATGCAGGTTCTTAGGGTTTATTTATTAAAAAATATCGTTTGTTTCTTTATTATTACGTTAATGATCTGTGCAGCTATAAATCGAGACATCCTGTATAACTATAAAAAAAAAAACGAATATTGTCTTTCTAGTAGCTTATGTATTTTCATAATTAAATGCAATTTTATTTTAAAAATCAGTTTAGTTCGTTTTACGAACCGTTTTATAGACAGGTAATAATTTCTATATAAATATATGTGTTCCATTGAAATTGAAATAATAAAAATGTTATAATTGTGTTGGTTTTTACTGCTTCACTTTGCATTCTTTAACTTCATTTTGACATTACATAGTCAATTAAAATTACATATAGCTAAATTTTGAAAAATCATTAATTAAAAATGTTTCTTACGTGATATATATTTTTTTACTAATTAAAAAACATCGTACGGTTTAGGTACGGCACCCACTGTCTTGTGTGTGACAGGGGCGATATATTATTACGTACCTATGTCGCATTAATTAACTGTTCAACTGAAAATGGAGCAGTATTTCTTATTATTTTACCCGGCTAAAGGAAAGTTTATAATATTGACATTTACTCTAAGTAACGGATTTTGCCCGTCACGATATCCTTTGGGCTTACGCTCGCGTGTTCAACAGAGGCCCGATCGAAAAAAAAATCTTCCCTCATCTGCATTTGTTTGCAGGTTCTCTATATGTTTGCCCAGTAAATCAACTCTAGCGGAAAAATTAAACGTGTAGACAGTTAATGAGATCCTCATTGCAGAATTAGTTAATTGAGAAAAATTATCTTTTCCCACGGTAGTAACTGATGTCAGTATTTCTAAGAGTTACACATGTCACATGGATTTAAAACGCTTTATATTTCGTTAAGAATATTTTAAAGGTGCATACAAAGCAATCACGTGATTTTCTCCGTCATATTTGACATTTTTTTTTCAAGGAATCGATGCCATATTAGCGTTTATTTTTCGATTTTTTGATATGTTACCTATATACATTTTAAGCACAATAAATTATTGAATATAAGAATATGAATTGTACAATACAAATTCTTTATTAAATCGTTACTGAACAATTGTCATTTTGACAGTTTGGATGGCCGCGACGTCGAAGTGACTTCTAATACCACACGTGACAAATTAAAATGTGCCTAATATTTTTTCACTGCTGAAGGCACTTATGCGAAAAAATTAGATATTACACACTATACCTACATCTTGTCCGAAATTATTAATAATTTACGCAGGGTACTCTTAGCATTCTACCTGCTTAATTAATTTATTGACTTACTGCTTAAAAGCGTTAGAAAAAAATATTTGGTTGTTTCCAAAACGTGTTTGCACGGTACGCGCTATTTTCTACCTGTTTCAAAGAAGCAAATTGGCTCCGGTCATCAGATAAACAATTTTTAATTAAGATTTGATCCCTTGAATGTGCTCTTGACGATGTAAGGCATCCTAGCCTTGAAATAAGCAACCATTACAAGTTCAATAGTATTGAATCGAAAACGTACTGAGTTTTGATGTATAAATCCATACTACGCTTGTTAATTAATGTTATTATTTCATTCTGATTTGAATTTAATCTGCTTATAAAATCATAATAGATATTTCTTAGTAAAACAGCGATTCTAAGATGTAAACAGCTTTTATGTAAGTAGTTGCAGAGCCACTTCACAGCGGATAGTTTTCAGTCTATTATTATTGGTGTTTTGTATAGGGTGTAACATAAATTACGTACTAACTTCATAGACGCTTTAATAATTAAAAAATGGGCAGTTTCATATTATAACTCTTAATACAACCAGAATAATGAACATGAAATTACGTTAATAAATGTTAAAAATGCAGGTCCGAAAATCTATTGCCTTCGCACACAGCGACATCATGTTGCCAATTTGCGGATGTTTCCAAGGAGATTTTTCGGTCAAAAACATCCTAATCATTGCTTATCATTTCAAATGCTTTAAAATGCATGAGACTTGTATCTATGATTGATTTATACAGGGCTTTACTTTAATATTGCGAAAAACCTGCCAAAAAGTAAGGAGAGTGGGGATCTCGGCGGGGGTCTTCTACGTAAACTTATTTTCCAAAAATGTCTGCTATTTGAGTTACCCTTTAAGGGATAGGTTAAAATTCTATTTTTATTTTTTACAGTTTGAAAAACAGAATAATGCAGCTTGGGATGTTACTTTATCTTATCAAAGATACACCGATATTATTAATCATAATCGAAAGGTGTTGAAAACTTCAACAATGGTTTTCTGTCTCTTACATTTTTTTACTAAAATTTTCTGTTTTTCTTTAGTCTTCAAGTGTCGTAATTTTTTTTAATTTTGAATTGAAAACCAATTATATTAGATTAGATGTCCCCCAGAGAAGAAATCAAGAGGGTTTAGGTTTGGGGACCGTTGAGGCCAAGGCTGTCCTCTACCTATCCAATTTGGAAATCTACATCTAAATACATCCAAAAAATCAAGGATTTAGACCTATTTTTTATGGTAATATGACAGAGGCACAAGATATATTTTTTAAGAATCCTTCAAATTGTTGAATGGCTAATATTTAATATGTAACGTCTTCGATTTCGTTAAGCACCTGTTCTTCCATTTGAGGAGTAACTGTTTGTGGGTGCGCATTTTTAGCGGTACGTTTTTTAAAGTTTTCGGTTTCGCTAAGACGCTGATATAAATGACCAAACACCGTATGATACGTGATAACGTGATCTGGATAACCTACTTCCTAAAGATGTCTTGTTGCTAATGCATTGCGTTAGCAAAATCATAAAGGATATGCATATGGAACATTTCACTATTTGTGTAGTTACCATTTTAAGGTACACAAAAACCCTTGTGTCTCGTGTTGCATTGACTTAATTGCATTATTCTGTTTTTTCAATTGTGAAAAAATATAATAAAAACTGAATTTTAACCTACCGTTTTAAAGGAATGTAACTCCGATGGCAGATGTTTTTGCAAATATTTATATAGATGACCCCCCTTACTTTTTGACAAGGAATCGCTCCTTAAAGTTTTTCGCAATATTAAAGAAACACCTTGTATAATAAATAATCGCGCCCTAAAGTATATCTACGAAACACCTGAGTTTGGAGAAGCATTGGCAACAATACATCAAATATTCGAGTAAACGAAATAGTCTTAATTGTTTTCACAATGACGAAATCTCATGATTTATCAATTTGAAAATATAACAAACATATTTTTGTAAATCCCCGGTAGATAATGTAGTTAGGGGACTTTTTTTATTTTTAAAAATTACACTACTTATTAAAACTTCCTAATATTTCTGTTGCACCCTGTATATGCCGCAGTAACGTATAAATTGATAAAGACCTGCTTCTAGCAGATAAGATCTTGGCCAGCCGCCCTTGGCTTTTACAGAAATTCATTATTTACCAACTGGAAATACCTTTACAACTATAATAACTTCAGTAAATCGTGCCTTTCGTGCAAAAGTAGGAAATGCAGGTCGGAGTAAATTTTAAATGAACCGAACTGAACGGAACCGTTGCATAATTAATAATTTTTGACTTTGCTACCGAACAGAGTAATAAAATTTTAATTTGCTATTAAAAATGTAGCCTTTCTTTAAATTTGTTCCTCCAAGGAACGTAATGTTAAACGGGAAAGAACTTTTTATTCAGTTACTTGATCTAACTACTTTGGAGTTTCTTAAGAGGCGTTTGATCAGTTAAATCGAAAGCGTTTATTAATTTTAACTTCATCGTCTAACTAGCTGTGTTTGTATTTGCCTATTTTCATTTTTTCTTAAATCGTTAATTGTCATCATTTTGCTTTCTGCAACGTACACATCATGAATAATATCTAGTTTTTGACATTCTGTCATTCATGATAAATGTATTTTTTATTTTTTTATTTCGAAAGCATCTCGTTTAATGGATATATACGTTTTATTTATATTTTTATTTTATTTCTGAATATTATCACCAGTCTTTGTAGCGACAGCAATTTACGGTG